CTCCAGCGCAGAGCCTGGCCTCCCAGCTCCAGGTTTTCTGTGTGTTTTCCCTCATTCCAAGGGGTCCCAGTCAGCTTTGTCCCAGAGGCATGCTGGACAGGAAGGCCTCCACACGCACTCCCTGGCGCAGACATGCACTAACTGAATAACTGTCTCTACAGTTTCTGTTTTTCCAGACAGGGTTTCTCCGTGTGGCCCCAGCTGCTCTGGACCTGGCTCTGTAGACCAGGCTGGCTTCAAACTCAAAGAGCTGCCTACCTTGGCCTCCTTACATCTGGGATTAAAGGTGTGTGTGCTACCTCAACCGCCAGGAGCTGGCTAATTTTTTTAAGTATCCTGGTTTTGAGCTTGGGAACGTGGTTCAGTTGGTAGGTTTCTTGCCTCCCAGATGCAAGATGCAAGATGCCTCCCTGTGTTCCATCTCACACTCCATATAACGTAACACACACTCCATGTAACATCTCAACATTCAAGAGGAGGAGGCAGCAGGATCTCAAGTTCAAGGTCATCCTCTGCCACTTATGGGCTACAAGGCCAGCTAAGAATAAGTGAGATTTTGTCTTTAAAAAAAGAAATAGGGGTGGGGCTGGGGGAGCGGGAAGAGATGGTGTAGAGGTTAAGAGCCCTGGCTGTTCTTCCAAAGGTCCTGAGTTCAATTCCCAGCAACCACATGGCTCAAAACCATCTATAATGTGATCTGGTGCCCTCTTCTGGCATGCAGGCAGAATACTGTATAAATAATAAAGTAAATCTTAAAAACAAACAAAAAAAGTGAGCTGTACTTGGTGGCGCCTACCTGTGACCCCAGCACTCAGGGAGGCAGAGGCAGGCAGATCTCTGTGAGTTCAAAGCCAGCCTGGTCTACAACGTGAGTCCAGGACAGCAAGGCTACAAAGAGAAACACTGTCTGGAAAAAACAAAAACCAAACCAAAACAAAACCAAAAAAGTGAAAGGCAGGTCAGGTGTATTGCCAGTTTGAGGACAGCCTAAGCTACACAATGAGGCCCCACCTGAAAACAGAACTGAATAACAATGAAAACAAAAAAAAAAACAGAACAAAACAGCCAGGTGTGGTGGCACACGCCCTTAATCACAGCACTTGGGAGCCGGAGGCAAGAGGATCTCTGTGAGTTCAAAGCCATTCTATTCTACTTAGTGAGTCCCAGGTCAGCCAGGGCTACGCAGAGACCGTCTCAAAACTAACAACCAAACAGTCTGCATACAGCCCGGGTTCTCACCCGTGTTAATGTCAATAGGTTTTCCCAGTTATCACAGCTCACTGGCAGCCAGGGCGTCACACCCACCCGAAACCCCACCACTTCAGAGGCTGTGGCAGGAGAATGGCTATGAATTTGAGGCTAAATTGAATCCTCTGACAGCCTGAGGAACAAAGTGAGGTTGTTTCAAAACTAAACAAGAGCCCTCTCCCAAAATAGCAGCTGGCCATCCTGCTTCCCGTAAATGTTCCATCCAAGGGTTAGCCAGGCTCTGCCTGCCCTGTCTCTAGCTGGTGGGCCTGAAGCCTGCTGTCACTAAACCAAGACCCTTGTGCTGAGTGGTTGGTGATACACACTTTGAGCCCCGCATTTGGGAGGCAGAAGCAGGAGGTTCTCTGTGAGTTTGAGACCAGCCTGCACTACAGAGCGAGTTCCAGAGCATCCAGGGCTACATGAGAAATCCTGACCCTGACAAAAAACACCAGGACCCTGCTGAAATTGCCTGGAGCCAATTTCTCCACTCTAGTCTTCTCCAAGAAGACATGACATGCCACAGAATCTTCTGGGAGCATACTAAAAAGACTCCATAGCGCTTGCTCTAAGAGACCCAAGGTCCCATAACCTTACAGAACCTCTGCATCCGCCTGCTAAGGGTCATTGTCCTTGGGTTAGGATGTCCTACTGGAACAGCTGCCAGTATGGACCCTTTGCAGATGAGGAGATTCAGGGTCTGTGGTTGGCTGAGTCACTATGAAAGGCTGCTGAGTGCTAGGGCTGCCTCAGAACATCTGGATATGGAAGTTTCATGTTTCCCCCTTCCAGGGACTGGGGGTGCAGACATGCAGCCTTACAATCTTTGCAAGAAACAGCCAGGAAGTAGGTTTGAGTCACAGTACAGGAGAACCAAGGAGGAAGTGCATGCTACTGCTGGTTCAGTGGGTAGAGGTACTACCTACCAAGCATGACAGTCCATATTTGACTGTGGGACCCACGTGATTGCGAGAACTGAATACTCTGGCCTGCACATGGGGGTCTGTGGCAGGCACACACTCACTCACACTCTGCGCACAGACCTCAAACTGATCTGTCTACCTGTTGAGTGCCGGGCTTGCTGGAACACGCCTTTAATCCCAGCACTCCGGAGGTAGAGGCAGGCTGATCTCTGTATGTTCAAGGTCAGCCTGGTCTAAAAGTGAGTCCAGGACAGTCAGGGCTACACAGAGAAACCCTGTCTCGACCCCCCACCCAAAAAAAAAAAAAAAAAAAAAAAAAAAAAAAAGATGTACACCATTGTGCCAGGCTTTATTTTTGAGACAGGGTCTTTTGTGGCCTTAAACTTCTGATCCTCCTCAGGTCTCTAGCTCCTGACTGCTGAAATCCCAGCTGCTTGCCGTTGGTTGGTTAGCCAAGCTCTTTGCTGTGGCCCCCAGGAAGGCACCTTACCTTTGAGCCACATCCTTAAATAACTCTTATTCTAAAACAGGGTCTCTGTTGCCCAGACTTCTGACAGTCTTGCCTCAGCTCACTCTCCCTGGCAGCTGGATCACCAATGCCCACCTGTGATTGGAGCTGGATAGCTGCCAAATGAAAACAGGCGCCCTAAGATTAAAACCCAAATGGGCTTGCTGTCACCTGAAATCTCATCCCTGGGGAGACAAGAGGTGGGATGCCTGTTGCCAGTGTGAGGCCACAGAGGCCAGCTAGGGACACACAGCAAGACCCTGTCAAAATAATTAAAACCACGAAGCCTCAAGCGGAGGTGCCAGGTCTGGCAGGCACTGTGGGGGTTTGAGCCTGGCAGAGGGCAACTGTGCTGAGCTCTCCAGTCAGGGAACGTGGTGTGCTCCTCAGCGGTGCAAGGAGGCCTGGAGACCAAAACTACTCTAAGGGTCATCAGGGGTCTTTCTCCCCACATCTCTCCCAGGCTTGGAAAGACCAAGCCCCAGACACGGGTGGGAGGAGACAGGGAGCTGGGCTGTTGCTGTAAACACGTGGCCCCACCTGGAACGGAAGCACCTGCGGTGAGGGGGCCCACACCTCTGAACAATGGCTTCAGATTCCTCAGGGTCCGGTCCCCCCGCAGCTCTGGGCTTGTCTCCCTTTTGGGTCTCTCCTGGGTGTCTGGCAGGCTCCCAGCTTGGGCGGTGGCCCCTGACCTGTCCCTGCCCCTTCCTGCTCGCTTTGATGCGGCCCCACTTCCTTTGACAGGAACCCCCTCCCTCAGGGCTGGTAAAAGGCAGAGGGCTGTGGCAAGGCAGTGGTGCAGCATCTCTTCCAGGCAGAGGACTTTCCTCAAGGCCCTGTCTCCCAACCCTTGTACCAGTGCTGTGCCTCAGACCCTGGTACAGGTCTGGGGGACAGGGACCTGGGGACCCCAGCAGCGGCAGCTCCAACTCCTCCCTCCAGCCACAGGACTTTCTCCCAGGTCTGTGTCCCTCCCCACACCGGGGTGACGTGGGTGCTTTTCCTGAGTGGTGTGTCCACACTCCCATATCCACACCTGTAAACCTAGGGACCTCTGCCCACCTCCCACCCCTAAGGTCATCCTCTCCCTAGACACAAGCACTCTGAAGTGGGAGACAGGGGTTCCAGAAGCAGACTGTGACTCAGGGTGGAGAACCTAGTATCTTCACCTGCAAGGTGAGTGTGGGACGCTGTTTGCTCTTCAACTGTGGGAAGATCGGAGGCCTAGAGGGAAAGCCCAGGCCGCTCTCTGGGACACTTAAGGACCTAAAACTAATCTGAGGCCAGGGGCTCCACCCTCACTTACTTCCTCCCAAGAGACTAGGGGTGGGGAAGGAACACGGGCCAGTCACCCCAGGTAATACTGGCTGGGAGCAGTGGCCCGTGTGTGTAATCCCAGCACTCCAGGAGGCAGGGGCAAGTGGATCTAGCGCATCTCTGAGTTCAAAGCCAGCCTGGCCCACAAATTGAGTCCAGGACAGCCAAGGCTACAAAGAAATCCCATCAAAAGAAAGGGAGCCCAAGGGAACGCAGCAGGAACCCCCCAGCTCAGGAAACCCCTAAGGTGAAAGCCTGACACCCACTCTGGCCCAGGACACAAGAGACTCTGAGCCTGTTAAGATAGAAAATAACTTTATTTGTTCTAAGGAGTAGGCCAGGGTCTCCTCAGAACTTCTGAAACTGCTTCTTGGTGCCAGCAGCCTTGGTGACCTTGAGGACGTTGAATCTCACAGTCTTGCTCAAAGGCCTGCACTCTCCCACGGTGACAATGTCGCCGATTTGCACATCCCTGTGGGGTTTGACAAGAAGGGGCCTCAGCAATCCCTTCATCCCCACTGACAGGCTGAGTGTGGCCACCTTGGCTCCACCCACCAGTGGTCATTCAGATGGTCGCTAAGACTAACACAGGCTAACACAGGCTATCACTTCTTTCCCAGACACTGAGCCATGGCTACCCTTGCCAGCTCTTACCAAGTAGTCCACATACTCCCAGACCCAGAAACAGCACCACCTCCTAGCTCTGCCCACAGGCTCCCCATCAGCAGCACCCCTACTTTCATCAGCTCTCCCCAGGCAGTCTTGTCCAGGGTTGGCCCAGGCTCCCAGAGAACTACCTGAAGCAGGGGGACAGGTGCACAGACATGTTCTTGTGGCGCTTCTCAAATCGATTATACTTCCGGATGTAGTGGAGATAGTCCCGGCGGATGACAATGGTCCTCTGCATCTTCATCTTGGTCACCACACCTGGGGGGTGGGAGGTCAGTCAGGGGTAGCTCAGGACTGCTGGAAACCAGTTGAGCGGGGCTCTCCCAGCTCCACTTCTGGCATCAGCTTTACCAAGCGGCTGTCTCAGCAGTGTCCTTGGGGACATCTGAAGACCATCGTGAACAGACATCATCTGCCAGTGTTCCTAAAACCACCCTTTAACTTCTCACTCACCAGACAGGATTCGGCCTCGGATGGAGACATTTCCAGTGAAGGGGCATTTCTTGTCTATGTAGGTGCCCTCGATGGCCTGAAGGGGCAAGAAAGTGCAGTTTAGATCACCACTTCCTAAGTAGAAGCAAGCATGGAGCCTCAGGGCCCCAAACTACAATTCCCAGGAGTCCCAGCGGCAGCCACTCCGAGAGGGCGGGGTGGCTGTGCCTGCACATGTGCAGGGCCACATGAGTCCCATCTGCTGGTCAGTCCTGTACCTCCTTGGGCGTCTTGAAGCCTAGACCGATGTTCTTGTAGTAGCGAGGGAGTTTTTCCTTGCCGGTTTCTCCCAGCAAAACACGCTTCTTGTTTTGAAAGATTGTAGGCTGCTTTTGGTAAGCACGCTCAGTCTGTAAGAATTAATAATCCCACGGTGAGGTTACAGGGAAAACTCCAAGGAGACCAGGGTTATAGTTTTTCCTTCTAACCTTACAGAACTCACCCTCAAACGCCAGCCACGGAGGGCCAGTGTCCCACAACAACCCCGAATTTATTTCAGCTTACACACTAGGTCCTAACACCTCCCACAGCTCGCAGAATTCTGGCCTTTCAGCAATGTTGATTCTCGCACTCAGGATCCACACCTAATGTTATTCGGACTGACCCTGGTGGGCCAAACCTGTCACACAGGTACTCGGAAGGCTGGGGCGGAATACCAAGTGCAAGACCTGCTTGAGCTACCCTGTGCCGACATTTAAAACCACAGCAAGCGTCGGGGCTGTCGGTCTATGGTAGAGCGCTCGAGTCCGCATGACGCCCGGGGCTCAAGCCCCACTAAGGAAATACACTGCTAAACCAGTCTTCCCGCGTTGCCCTTAGGCCCCGGGTTACCCAGGATGAGGCCCGAAAATCATCATCTGTTAAGTTTGAAGGACTAACTCCCAAAGCGCCTAGGAGCCCATTACTGTAGAACCAACGGCTTCGGAAACGCCTATCAGACGAAGGCACACGCAGGCACCCTCCAGCTAATTCGTAAGATAATGGAGACGCCCCAGAAGCAGCTCTACACTGAAGCGCGAGGCCCACAGACTCGGCGCCAGCCCACAGCTCGAACCTGAATGTCCGCCATCTTCCCGGCAGCCTGCAGAAAAGGGAGTTGGGCAACTCCCGGGCGTCCTTATTCACTACGCGAGGACTGGGGCGGAAGTGACGCAAGGGACAACCCTCTACGGCCTCGGATGTACTTCTCGTGCAGAACCCGCGATCCTAGGGCTGTCCGTACGCTGCCATGATGGCGGAGGAGTAAGGGATGGGAAGGGCGCGGAGCCTGTCATCTCGCGAGATCTCAGGAGCCCGTTACCGGAAGTGCCCGCCAGGGTGGGCGAGCACATCCTGAGAGTCGTAGGAGTCAGTGTTCTTCAGCAATCGAGTTCAAGTGGCTCTCGGGAACCGCGTGGTGGATCTTTCAACCGGCCGAGCGCCCAGCGGGTCTCAGCAGCCTGCTTCGGATCCAGAGTGGCTGGCTAATCATGAGCAGCTCATCTCTCTGAGCAGTATTAGCTTTGCTTTTTTCACTAAACAAAGTACACACACGTGCGTGGGTTATGGCTATTGTGTTAATTAGCACTGGTTCCACAGTAGAATATTCTGTGTCCAAGCTGCTCTTGAAATTATGTCCCTACCTACACTGGCACGACAGGTGTTTAAGAAATGCATACTAACTTTATTTGCTTTGTTTTGGACAGGGTTTGTGTGTCCAAGGCTGTCTGGCTTGGAGAACCAGCTTGGGTAGGAGACCCTCCTAGGCTCATGACCTTACCTTGTTGAATGTATGACTTTAGGATAGGAGTACAGCTAACGTTGAGACCAAGATTAAGCCAGGACTTAAGAGGCTGCAAATTTATGTGCCAGTCTCCAATATTTACCTTGCACTTCTAGCTCTGTATAGAGAACAGCTAGGGCAGTAAAGGGTGTTTTCAAAACAATGATAAGGTGTTAGATGTGCCTTTAATCCCTGCACTCAGGAGGCAGAGGCCCAGGGGCTTTTGTTTGGCCTGAAAGTTCAAGGTCAACCAGGGCTACATAATTTTATAAAATGTTCAAGACTTGAATGATACATTTGTCTCTACCAATTTGAGGTGGGAGGATGGATATCAGAGGAAATTCAAGAAACTTCTGAGCTATCTTCCTCCAGTCCATGGCTTTACAATTTATTAAGTATTAACATGTTAAAAAAGTCACCAGGACTAGGTCCCATCTAAAGTGTAATCCCAGCAGAGGGCAGAGGCAGGTTGAGTCCAGCCTGAGTTCAGGTGAGGACAGCCAAGGTTACGGAGAAACTGTCTCAAAGGCCAGAAAGTTTTTGTTCATGGTCATCCATGCCCCACCCAACAGCAGTGTGAATTAAGCAGACAGGTCAACTAAAAAACAAGATGGTTGTTGAGTACAGGCTGGCCAACTCTTTGCCTAAATTAACAGGCACACACTACTTCACTTTTTGTGGAGATAGAAATCTTAAGCCAATCTTCTGAGTTCAGAGAGCCATTCGCGGGTAAATAAAACAGGAACTTCCTGGATCATGGCATAGCAACTGCCCATGCTACCATGAACATGTTTGTTCCTGTGTGTGTGTGGGAACAACCACACAAGGTACCCTTGAATTCCCATTCCACCCCAAGCCCTAATCCTTTCATGATAAAGTAACAATCTGAACCCTAGTTGATCTTTCCCAGGTTCAAATTGGCTGATCCAACTCCCCAACTCTACATGGTTCAACAGGAGGCCAAGAAAAACTGCCTAGTATGATCTTGACATGCCTTTTGTTGGTATCCTTTGCCCCTGCCTACACAGCATAGTGCAAAGACACCTCTTTTAACAGTCAAATAATTTATTTCCACACAGACCCTCCCAGGGATTGGGAAGGAGCAAAGACAGTGCCACTGGCTGGTGCCTTCCCAGCCCAGGCTTGCTGCCCTGGGTTAGAGGAGGACAGCCCTGCTCTTTTCACTTTAAAGGCTGAATCCCAATAATTCGCACAGTAACTCAACAAGAGCTGTTTAAAGGTAACCTCTACCATGGGAGCAGTGACTAAAGCACCTTTTGTCCCCACCTCCCTGGACAGCAGTGGAGAAAGTGCAAGCCAGGCAGGCATGAGGCACAAACAGTCTTTATTGGTCTCACACCAGAAGTCCATTGGTCTTGAGGACCTCTGTGAACTTGCTGATTTTCTTCTCCACATTCTTCTCTGCTTGTTTCCGCAGCCTCTGTGGGGTGAAGGCAAGTGGCAGTGAGTGGCTGCCTCTCACCCATGGCCACCCTAACCCTGGGGTGTAGGTGTTCCTGTCCTCACCAAAAGCTGCTTCTTCTTCCGATAGTGGATCTTGGCCTTTTCCTTCCGCTTCTCCTCAAGAGTGGCTGTCACCGCCTGGTACTTCCACCCGACCTCATGAGCCAGACGCCCCAGGTAAGCAAACTGCAGGGGCACAAGGCTGTAAGAACATGGAAGGTGCCCCAGCAGCACAAGGGTGAGCTCTATTAAAGGACACTCTACTCCCAATACCCTCCTGGCATCAGCTTTGCCTGTGGCATTATCGACACTGCCTGCTGAGTGGCATCCGCAGACCATCGTGAGAAAAATACCATCATTTGCCAGTCCGGAGGTCCCACTTAATCCACTCTAACCTGTAGTTTACCTTTCTGGTAGGCTTCAGCCGCACAACCTTGAGGGCGGCAGGGACCACCATCCGCTTTTTCTGTTAGAGAAGGAGAGGGGCTCAGACACCTGTTGACCTCAGACACCTAGGAAGGAGGCTGGTGGGGCAGGCGTCTCAGCTAGTGGCGTTTTCATGAGGCTCAAACAATGTAGGTAATAGAACATCACAGACGCTGGACGCATTTACTGTGAGGCTAGGCTGCAAGGCTCACCTTGTCATAGGGTGGAGGGATTCCATCCAACACCTTGAGGCGCTCCAGGGCAGCCTGGCCTCTCTTGGTCTTGTGGGGCAGCATGCCTGTGGGTATAACAGCAGGCCTACTCTTCAGAAGGGATTAAAAATTCTTTCTTACCCCAGAGCAGGGAGACCGGCCAGCCTCAGATGGTAGTGCATGTGGAGTCATCTCATAGTAGGGAAACTCGAACATGAGTGGGAAACATCCTCATCATAGGCTGTCATATCCCTCATCCTCCGTCACCCAGACCCATCTTACCTCTCACAGTGCGCCAAAAAATGCGGCTCGGGGCTCTAAAGTGATAGGGGCCCCGAGAGGGGTTGGTGTTCATCCGCTTCCGGAGAAAGGCCAAATACTTTACTGCCAGGAGGAAAAGTGGAGGTCTCCTCAGTCCCACAAACAAATCCTAAGGAGCGAAGACCCACGCCAGCAACTCCCACCTACAGACTATCCCTCAGCCCTAACTCACACTTGTTTCTGTAGAAGTTTCCAGAAATGTTGATGCCCTCACAGCGTACAACCACCACCTTCCGGCCTAGACAGAAAAAGACCAGTTACCAGTCACACCCAGTACCCAGCAAAGTCAAACCCATGAGTCCCAGAGGAAGGAGGGGCTGGCAAGTCTCAGAGCGGTGCATGGGTTGATCTCACAGTCGTGAGACTCAAACGAAAGATGGTGATTATTGCTCATCACGGACTGCCAGGCAAACAGAGATCCTGAATGAAACTTACCCAGGAGGACCTGCTTGGCCACAATGGCCGCCAGGCGGCCCAGGAGATGGCCTCGGCCATCCAGCACCAGAACCTGTGGGAGACAGAAAGCTTAGGCCGCAGTTTGGCGCTCTCCCTATTTCATGTTATCAACCCATTGAGTGACAGGATACCTAGGAACCAGATGAAACCAGAGCCCCAAAGGGGCACAACAAACCAAGAGCACATGAGGCTGACAGCACAGCAGGCCTCAAGCACTTGCAATCTTTTAGCCTTCCTCATGTGGGGTCACTTTAATACCCTCCCAGGCCTCAAACTCTGGGCTTGTTTGGACCTACTCAACACTCACGGGCACATGTTTAAAACTCTGTATTAAGAACTTTCAGACAAGTTTAGCCATGTGGCTCTTCATCTGAGCCTCAGGTTACTCATAAACCACAGCCATCTTACAAGGAGCCCAAAACAAAACCAATTAACTCAGTACGATGGCTGTCCTGCTAGTCTAATTCTGGGGAAACAGGCCAGAAAGGTAGTGTCCAAAGCAAGACTTCCTTGACCAATATAACGTTACAGTCTTCAGCTCTCAGATATGGTGGCGTGTGCCAAGAAAGCCATTCCACAGCCACCCTCCTTATAACAATATTTCTGGAGCTTCTCCAGGTATGAAGTTCAAAATCGTTCCACAGACATTATCACTTAATTGGACTTCCCCAGCACCCTTCCAGGTATCTGAAAACAGCAGCAAACGTGCAATTCTTGACTAGCCTCAAACTCACGACATTCCTGTCTATCACCAGTGGTTGATTTTACAGGCCTCATTAATTCATCCCGTAACAGTAAAAAACTCAGGAAACACCATTTACAGGTTTAAAAGTCAAAATGCCAGAGGAACAGAAAACCAGCACCCTAGTATCACGAAAACTCGGAGCCATTTCAGCAATTTCTCCTTACCTAGGACGACACAATCGTTCGCGAGCAACCCCAAGGTCCCCCCATCCCATCGCCTGGGATGAAGCCTGTCAAAGTTCTTTCCGGGTGCTGGGAACACCAGCCCCCCTTCCGTCTACCCCGGGTCAAACGCCGCGTTCTGGTCGGCCCGTACCTAAGCACAGCGGCGGCTCCCCATGCCCACGTCACACGCCCCTCGCGTCAGAACGGGCCTACTTCGCTTAACTGCCGTCCTTAAGTCCCATCGCACACGTAGCCTGGAGCGGAGGTCCCCATTCCGCTCCCGCCTGGAGCCCACCCGACCCAAACCGCCCGGCACGCGCAGAGCCCAAACCTGCCCCTCCGCCATCTTCGGCAGCCGCCTGGGAAAGGAGGAGGTCTTGGCGCAGGGTTTCTTATCCCTTGCTGCAGGGGCGGAGGAAGTGACGCAACCGGGCTGAGCCGCATTCTCTGCCTTCTCATTGGTGGAAATGGTGTGCGCTCATGCACAGGAAGGCGGGCCTTTTTTATATTGTCCAATCAGAGGATCGTTCGAGTTACATCTTAGCGGCCATGACTGTGCGGGGCGAGGGGTCACGTGGGTCTCGAGGCCGCTTCAGATAGACAAGGCCGTCCAGCCCCGGCGGCCATATTTTGGAGGGAGTGCTAGTCTCCATTCATGTATCCGTGCTGCGGAGCGCCATTACTACCCTCAAGTCATGACGGTTGCATGACACGTGGTGGCCATAAGGGGGCGAGCATAGTCCTGGGCTGCCTTCGGTGCTTAAACTGCTTCAGCTGGGCGTATAACGGTCTGAGAGCCCAACCTCATGGTGTGCGTGACAATTGCTGGCCTTTTCTCTTCTGGGAGTTTAGGACTATCAAACGGGTGGGGGTAGTCTTTCAAGATGGAAGACTAGGGGCGAAGGAAGGACTTCCAGGTTCATGAGACTCAGGCGTACTCATTTGCTTCCCCCCAACAAAGGAAAACAAATTGTAGGTTGATCAGTCTCAGAGACTCATTTTCTCCAAGAAAACCTCCCCAAATATCCCAGCTTGAGTAGATTCCTCCTGGAGGCTTCAACACTCTTGCTTTCCTGCTACGCTTTGGGGCCACGATTTGGGGAATTGGTCTGTTTCTGCCTCACATCAGGGTCCTATGGAGCGTTACCGAGTGCTGACCCTGGACCATTGGAGGCCTCAGAAAACAAACAGAACTCTTTGCTTTGGCTTTTGATACAGGATTTCTGCAATTCAGACTGCCTTAAATTTGAGATCCTGTGTCAAACCAAGATTCTGAAACTTAAACCCACCCATTCCCTGTCCCACCCACAGATAAGCCTGAAAGAGCTGGTAAAAAAAAAAATACACACACACACACACAACAAAAAACAATTATTTATACACAAATTCATGGGTCTAAAGACAAAGACTTTGCACAGAAAGGAGTGAGTGGGGCTTTTGTTAGGTTCTGATGTTGACTCCAACCTGGGGAGAGATGTGGCAGGGCAGCGAAGTCCAAGACGGAGCCAGCCTCCACCCACTTTTCCCTGTGCCCAGGCTGGGCAATGTCTGTCAGGTGACTCCTGCTTGGCCTCAGTATGCTCAGATCATCAATGGTCTCTGAAGACCAGAGTCCTCAGCCTGCACTCTATCACTAACCACGCCCACAGCCTCTTTCAGGAGAAAGAGAGGCACGTCCTCTACCTTTGAGCTACACCCCCACCCCTCACCACTCCTCAGCCCGCTCCCTACCCCTGCTTACGTTAACCTCAAACTACCAGTAGATAACCCACAATCCCTGATCCTGATACCTCTTCTTCAGAGTACAGGAAATACAGACTTGTACCAAAAAAATCTGCTCCAAGTCTTTTCTTTTCTAAAGGGGCTCTTAAACCAGGCAAGGTGGCCCACGCCTTTAATCCTTTTGCAGAGGAAGGAAGCAGAGGATCTCTGAGTTCCAAGCTAGCCTGGTCTACACAGCAAATCCCAGGTCAGAGAGGGATCCATGAGACCCTGTTTTCAAAACAAACAAATCAAGGCCTCCGAGGGGGTGTCAAGAGTTAACAGGCCTCTGCTTCGACATCTGACAACCTGAGATCCATCCCTGGGACCCAGGAGGTGAAAGGAGAAAACCAGCTTCCCACAAGTTGTCCTCTGACTTGTACTCAGAGCGGATGCCATGTGTCCCCCTGTGTGTGATTTTTTTAAAGATTTGGGGGGGGTGTAATTTTGAATAAAGAGGAATTACTGTCTGGTGTGGTATGACCCCAACACTCCAGAGGGTAGAGGCAGGAGAATTGCCGCCAAGTTCCAGGACATCTGAGCTACATAGACCCTATCTCAAAAAATAATAAATAAACAGAGTTGGGATTACAGACACGTGCCACTATGACTGATAAATGGTGTATGTTTCATGGGAAACCACAAATGCAGAGGCTGTTCCTCGATCTAATTGTGTTAAGTGAGCGGACAGGGAATCTGTTTTGGCTGTGTGAGTACTAAACGCTGCTGAATGGTTTCTGCTGAGCGTGTATGTGTGGCAGCTGCAGAAGGAACCCAGAGTCCAACATAAGCAAGGGCCTCGCCACTAAGTTCCAGCAACAGCATTTATGGTTTTCATTGTCATTATGAGACAGATCTCATGAAGTCGCTCAGGCTGGCCTTGAAGTTTTGATCCCTCTGCCTCTGAGATGGCAGGCCCGAAGCACTGTACCCAACAGTCATTTTTATTTTAAGGAGTAGAGATGACAGAAGCAACCTCACAGGGCTACAGTGCGCTCCCCAACTTGCTTTGTTTTCCTTAAAGTCATTGTCCCCCAGTTTCAGCATCTCCAGTCCAGAAACACTGGAATGACATGTCTGTCACCATGCCTAGAAGTGTCCTCTGGGCGGGGATGTAGATCAGCAGCACAGCATTTGCCTAGCTTGTTCCTTGTTTGGTTCCCCAGCACCTCTAGCACCAAGAAAGAAAAGAAAAGCCTTGTTGTATATAGCATGCCTATAACTCCAGCTGTTGGGAAGGCTGGGCAGGAAGATTTGTGGAGGTATTCAAAGTCACTTTGGACAATATGGTGAGACCTCATCTGAAAAAAAAATGTGTCACTGGATTGAGTGACATTTTTGTTGTTGTTTATTTGAAATAGGAGACAAGGGTTTGCTGTGTATCTCACCATGGCCTTGAACTCCCCAGGTAGTCAGGCATGGCCAGACCTTGCAGCAATCCTCCTACTCTGGCCTCCCAAGTGCTGGGATTACAGATATAACCTCCACATGAGAGGAAGTGTAAAACACAACGAATTCTTAAATATGGGTACTTGCAGGAGGACCCACCTTCTTTCCTGCCTCCTTGCTTATTTTTCTCACACCAGACTCTTCCCTCACAAGGCCTCCACGGCTCTCTGCTGCGCTGATGGTGGAAGCAGCGGAAACCCCCTGAGCTTTGCTACACTGGAAGCTTAGCAAAGACTGTTCTTCCCCTGACACACACACTACTCCGCTGCCCCTCCTGTGAGACATAGTGAGAAAGCCCCCAAATCTTGGACTGACTTTCTACCCCCAAGTCTGGCCATTCCAGACTCCAGTATAGGTAGAAGACCCACCGAGGTAAGAGCCTGGCTGAGTCAGTGCTGCACAAGTGTCACATCCTAGAGACGGGAGGTGAGGGGGGCCTGAGGCCCCCACAAAGTCAGCCTCAGGACGCTTGCAAGGCCAGGCCACCTGCCACCCTCAACCCTTGCCACCCACTCCATCCAACTGGCCTGGACTCTAGGCTCACCCTAGGGCGAGCCTTTTGCCAGTGAAGGCCCCAGACAGCTCCAGTGGCACAACCATGAGAGGCAGCAGCAGGGGAGCAACAGCTGGCTGGGCTGAGGCTCTGGAAGCTTGGTGGTTTCTAAGGCTACAGGACTTCTTTGGGGCAGCAGGGTAGAGGGGTCTGGGGAAGAGAAGAACCAGGTAACTGAGGGGGTTCATCAGAACAAACACTGAAAGTCCTGGAGGACCACGGGTGATGGTGCATGAGGAGCATACAAACTACAAACCACAAGACCCAGGGATAAGATGAGCCCGGCAGCCCAAGCCTTTAATAATTCAGCACTCAGGAGGCAGAAGCAGACAGATCTCTGTGAATTTGAGGCTAGCTTGGTCTACATAGTGAGCTCCAGGACAGACAGGGATATATAGTAAAACACTGTCTCAAAAATAAACCAACAACTGGGTGAAGTGGCACATGCCTTTAATCCTAGCATTCGGGGGTTGGAGAGATGGCTCAGAGGTTAGGAGCACTGGCTGCTCTTCCAAAGGTCCTAAGTTCTATTCCCAGCGACTACATGGTGGCTCGCAACCATCTATAATGAGATCTGGTGCCCTCTGCTGGTATGCAGGCAGAACATTGTATATGTGGTAAATAAATAAAAAATAAATCTTTTTTAAAAAATAAAGCAAAATCCTAGCACTTGGGAGAAAAAAGCAGGTGGATCTCTCTGAGTTCAAGGCCAGTCTGGTCTACAATCAAGTCCAGGACAGCCAGGGTTATTACACAGAGAAACCCTGTCTCAAAAAACAAACAAACAAAAACCAACATTGGGAATAAAAAGCATGAGCCTGGCTGGGCATGGTGGCCCACACCTTTAATCCCAAAACTCAGAAGGCAGAGGCCAGGGCATTTTAGCCTGGTCTACATAGGAAGTTACAGGCAGGCAGGATTATATAGAGAGACCCTGTCTTTAAAATAAATAAATAAATAAATAAATAAATATATATATATATATATATATATATATATATATATATATATATAAAATGTCAATAACAAAAGAAAAAAAGGGGGGGCTAGAGAGATGACTCAGTGTTAAGAGCACTGTCTGCTCTTCCAGAGGTCCTGAGTTCAATTCTCAGCAAGCACATGGTGGCTCACAGCCATCTAACTGGGATCTGATGCCTTCTTGGGCATCCAGGTATACATGAAGTCAGAGCACTCATATACATAAAATAAATAAATAAATCTTAAAAAGAAAAGAAAAACTTATTGAGCCTGGCTATTAGTATTGTTACCCCGAAACTGGTGGCTCAGTTTCCCTTCCTAGTGGACAGGACTGCCCTAGACAAACAGACTTAAAATTCTGTCTCCTCAAAAATAGGTAAACTGAGGCTATGAAAAGGAATGTCCCAGTCTGGCACAGTGGGAACACCTGTGATCCCAGCACTTGGGAGACAAAGGCAGGTGGATCTCTGCGAGTTCAAGGCCAGCCTGGTCTACAACAAACTGAGTCCAGGACAACAAGGGCTACAGAAAGAAACCTGGTCTCAGAAAAAAAAAAAAAGAAAAAAAAAGGAATGTCCTGTCTGTCCCTGAGCATCTATGGCAGTTAATGGTTGCTTGCTGGTAAGGCAAATGAATACCTTCTCAAGCATGGCATTTATGGCCAACCTTCTTCACTGGCTTGAAAAAGAAAGCAAGAGGGAGGAGAGCAGTGAGATTGGGAGGGGACAAGAGAATGTAATGAATGTAATAAAAATGTATACACTTATAAAAACGTCATGAGGCACATTATTATAGATAATTAATATATGATGATAAAAACATGAAAAAAGAGAAGGGAATGAAGCCAGATGTGGGAGCTTTACACCTGTAATCCCAGCACTCTGGACACTGAGGCAGGATGATTGCTTTGAGTTCAAGGCCAGTCCAGTTTACATAATGAGACCCTATCTCAAAAGAAAAGATAAAGGGCCACAGACATGGTTCAGCAGTTAAGAACACTTGCTGAGCTGGGCAGTAGTGACACACCCCTTTAATCCCAGCACTTGGGAGGCAGAGGCAGGCATCTCTGTGAGTTTGAGGCCAGCCTGGTCTAGAGTGAGTTCCAGGACAATCAAAGCTACACACAGAGAAACCCTGACGCAAAAAAAAAAAAAAAGAAAGAAAGAAAAGAAAAAGAAATGAAATGAAATGAAATGAAAAAGAAAAAGGAAAAAGAAAGAAAAAACCACCAAAAGAAACATAACAAAACAAAAACAAAAACAAAAACTAGAAAGAAAAGAACACCTGCTGCTCTTGCCTTGGACCTGGTTTCATTTCCCAGGACCCACATGGTCTTATCTGTAATTCCAGCTCCAGGGAATCTGATGCCCTCTTCTGGCCTCTTTGGGCACCAAACACAGACACACATTCAGTGTACTTATAGGCATGTAGATAAAACACTCATACGCATAAAAATAAATAAATCTTTTTTGAGAAAAAAAAAAAAGGAGAAAGAACTTGTCTCAAGTCTCAGCTAGTGGGGGCCCCTGGGACACAGTGCGGAAGGCTCTGGGCTGTTACCCGCTGGCGCTGCACCTCCAGCACCAGAGAAATTCCGGCAGGCCTTCCCCATACAGGGCTACAGAGCCAACAGCTGCACGCAGGTGTCCTGCAGGAGGTGGGAGACGATGGTCTGGACGAATCGAAGGCATTCTGGGAGGGGCAGGTCAGCACCATGTCACAGCAGAGTCTCCACACACCCAGGGCCCTGACCTGCAGAGGACACACAGCTAGGGCCCAGGTCTCAAAGACTCTAGGGCTCTCCAGTTCGGGGAGAGAACCCCTTAGCAGCAGCCTTTTCGGCTTCTGAGGCACAGACCCAGAAACAGGATTGCTAGGTGACCTCAGGGCTTGGAGGTTCCAGCTCTGCCTCTGTGGTATATGCTGTGGGCAAAAGAGCCCCTCCTCCATCAAAGACGGAGCAACTCCCCAGGCTTGGGGAGGACTTACCAAGTCCCAGTGCTAACCTGGAAGGCACACGAAGTGACAAAATATATCTCCTTGTTGACAGCCTCCAGAAGGTCCTGCCACAGTCTTCAGCAGCTCCATCCAACGCTGGGCCAGGAAGAGGCTCCACAAGGCCTTGCAGTGTTTCTCCTGAAGATCAAGAGCCTAGACCGGATCACAGGTAGGAGGGGGGGAGCCAGATGATTAGCAGGGAATGGGCCGGCTAGAAGGTAGAGGGAGGGTGGGTGGGTCCAGATGCCTGAAAGGGATGGGTGGGGCCAGAGGCAGAGGGAGGGTGGAGCTAGGTGGCTGAAGATGATGGGCGTGGCCAGATGCCTGAGGTAGGTTAGGGGGGCTAGCGACCTGAAAGAGGCTGGCCCTTGCTGGAGGCCAGAAATGGTACAAAGGGTGGGCCTGGCACTTGTGTGATGGAGGTGGGACAGGATCAAACGCCTGAGATGAGACCCTGCCAGATACCAAAGGAAAAAAGCGGTTAGGTTACAAGTTTGAAGACCCTTGACGGAGGGGCGGGGCCAGGTGGCTAAGAGGGACAGGACCAGGTGCCTGAGAGGGAGGGGCCTTCTACACCTAAGGTTGAAAGGGGAGGATGGCGGGGCCAGACCTCTGAAAGATTGAGCTAACATGCCTGGGACCGGGGCGGGAGTAGGGGTGGGATTCTAGATTCCCAGGTCTGAGGGAGCAGGATCTTAGCCCACTAGCCTTGACCCTGAAGGGTGGTGCATTTTGAGTCTGGTTCCCACCTCCATCCCTGGGCCCTCCTGACTGTGACTCACATCCTGAAGACTGATGGCCACAGTGACTGGGTAATCTTTAAGCAGGTGGTCAGTCTATGGGAGAAAACAAGGAGAGGCCTGACTGAGAGCAAGAGACAAATCACAGAGAGTTGTCGGAGGAGTTGGAAACAGACCCTGAGACGAGGGAACAAGGCCACAGAAAAAGGACCCACATAAAGAAGAAGGGACCCATAGAGAGATACCAAGAGATAGAGACTCGAAGCAGACAGAAGACACACAGAGAGGGATCCTGAGAGAGAGAGACAAAGAGAAACATGGGCCCAGAGTGGAGGGCAGAAATGGAGAGAGAAACCTAGAGAAAAACAGGAGACATACAGTTGAACAGGGACTCAGAAAGAGAAAGACACACACAGAGAGAGCCAGAGACCCAGAGATAGAGACACTGAGAGACAGTGGCAGAGGTGTGGGATGGGGACCCAGCACAGTGGCCTGGCCTGGGTGGAAGCCATCTCACCAGCTTGTTGATCTTCCTGTGGAAGCTGGTAGAGACGGGACTGTGGCTAAAGTAACAGTCAGGTGTGTCCCTCAGGCAAGGGCTTAGCAGCAGCAGCAGCAGCGGTGGCAGGACTACAGGATGGTACTGTCGGCGCCTGACTTCCATTCAGGGGCTCCCTGTATCCTGCTTCCTTCCTTAACTGAGTGTCATTTTCCCTGTCCCTGCCTGTCCTGCACCTTGACTGGTGTGACAAACCTGTGTCCATCTTTCCTCATCTCATCCTGCACCATCCCGTCCTCTTCTTCTGATGCTGTCCTGTGTCTATCTCCTCATGCCTCCATCCCCTGCCCATCTCCCTTCCCCATCACCCCTCAGGTATACATACTCACATTTGGGCTCCAGGCTGGTGCCAGCACTGTCATCTCTGCCGGGGACCCCTCATGCCTATGGCAGGGTCTTGGAAGCAACGAAAGTGCAGGGCTTGGACTCATACCCTGCAGTCCCCTCCCCACCCGCCCCTGTACCCCACACTGCCGCCCTGCTGCCCTGCTGCCCTGCTGCCCTTGATGTGGGTGCCTTTCTGCCTCCTGCTCCGGCAGGCCTCCTGAATGAACCCCAGTGACGGTGAAAAGCCATCTCCCTTTCTAAGAACCCCGACCGACATCCGGTCCCCAGAATCCTAAGTCTCTCACCCTGCTCCCTTGGCCTGGCAGTGGGGACTTTGGGACCACCCTTCAGGGACCTAGAAAGCCATTCACCCCAAGCACCAGGCTTGCTCAACTGGGTGTGGAAGGACCGAGCTGGGTGACAGCTAAAGCCCCGAAAGTGAAAGGAAGCTTTGGGGTAGACAGTGCCAGGGCTGCGTTCGTGCCCGGGCGGGACGTGGGACGCGCCGCCTAGTGGTGACAAGTGGCAAGGCCCCAGGTCTCAGCTTGGACCGCTCACGGACAGCGACAGGGTGCAACCAAGCCTTCGAAGTGTATGTAGAACTGACCAGTACCAGTCACTTCAGCTGCCACCATACTGGCCTTGCCTCCACCATCTCCCATAAGGACTGTCACAATGGCCTCCTTTCTGAGTTCCCTTCTTCCTAGCCCCCATCTGCTCCCAGGGATGCAGACTTGTGAACCTGTCAGCTGAGTCCCTCCAGTCTGGGCTCCTGATTCATGCGGGATCAAAGTCCAGTCTTCCAGCAAAGAATGGTGGTCCAGACCTGTCACCCCAGTTACCAAGGAGCCTGAGGAAGGAGGCTGGCCTTGGTTCAATGCTGGCCTGAGCAATTCACTAAGACCCTGTCTCAAAAAGTACAAAGGACCGGCACACAGCTCAGTTGGAGAGCAGCTGCTCAGAATCCACTAGCGAGTCAGTGGCGGAGCACTTGCCTAGCATGCTCAAGGCCCTTTACTCAATTTGTAGCCCTGCCTGACCCCTCCAAAAAGTGGCCATGTAGAGCTGCAGTGTGACCCTGTGCTTACCTAGACCCTTCCCCCTTCTAACCTCATGCGTTGTTCCTTTCCAACCTAGCCATCCTTGGTGTGTCTGAGGTGGGCATACTCTTGCCCAAGGGCCTTTCCGCTAGCTATGAAATAGCCTTCCCTCCAGATACCTGTGCCCTCCTCCACGGCTTCGCTTACCCACACAGGCAAAGGCTTCTTGACACCCCTTTCCCAGTGGCAACCCTTGCAGCATCAGACTCACCCTGCTGTGTTATCACCACTTAACACTCCCTGCGGTTTGCTTATCTTTCCCATTATCTTGGCCTCTTCGGTGGCTGTTTCCACCCTGCAAAATCCTTGCACCCAGAACTACGCCTGGCCTGGCCGGAGCAGCAACTACACAGGCATTAATTCGGTGAACGTACTGGCAGGCCCTGACCTCATCCTAGTCCATCACTGCTGGCTAGCACGGGACGTGTCTGGGTTTTGGTTTTAGTTCCTAGGAAATAAATCCTTGGGGATTTTCCAAGTATGGGGAGCGCCATTTATCAGGCCTGGCACCTGGACGGCACCTGAGTTCGCCTTGAGGCAATTCAGGAAGGAGCTGGTTGTGCCTGAAAGTCCAAGAATGAAGAATGTGATACAGGGGAGGCAGGAGGACCAGGAGTCAAGGTTAGCCTTGGCTCCTATGGACCCTGTCTCATACTAGGCAGGACGTTGTGACGATGCCATTGTTAATCCTAGCACTTAGGAGAGGCAGAGGGAAAGGGAGATGGGTCTCTGTAAATTCAAGGCCAGCTTGGCCTACACAGTAAGCTGCAGACCAGCTGGGGCTACACAGTGAGACCCTGTCTCAAAAACATAAAACACAAGAAAACCTAACCAACCAATCAAACAAACAATACCAAGGCTGGCAAGAGGGCTCAGCAGGTAAAAGTGCCAACTCTGAAGCCTGATAATCTGAATTAAATCCCTGGGACCCACAGAGAAGAGAAAGCCCACTTCTAAAGGCTGCTCTCTGCTCTTCATGCGCAGCGCAACGGTGAAAACACACAAATTTAAAGCAAAAAGAGGCCAACTGTGATACTGATTGTGGGTCTAAGTTTGAGTGACAGCTCACCTACCTATTGGAAGATCCAGGGGCTTTGTCTGCCTTTCTACTAGGGCTCCAATGTGAATTCTGAATCCTGGGAAAAGTTCTCTCCTGTGTTTCAGCCTGGCCACATGAGACCCCATCTCAAAAGGCTGGATGATGATGATGATGCTGGCCTCAGGACTCCCAATCTTCACCAAAGCTTACAAACTGGACCCACAGTCCCTGCAGCTCTTTGTTTCAACCACAGTGATCTGGGATGACTCTGTGTGTGTGTGTGTGTGTGTCTGTGAGTGTGTTTCGAGACAGGGTTCCTCTCTGTAGCCTTGGCTGTCATGGACTCACTTTGTGGACCAGGCTGGCCTCGAACTCACAGAGATCCTCCTGCCTCTGCTGGGACTACTGAGCCTGGCTCGTGAGATAACTCTTGTGTTAGCTTCTTACTGATTTAACAAAAGATTACAAGTTGAGTAGCTAAAAACTGCAGAAGTTTATCCCCAGCCTGGTGGTGGTGGCACACACCTTTAATCCCAACACTTGGGAGGTAGAGGCCAGCCTGGTCTACAGAGTTAAGTTCCAGGATGGCCAGGGCTACACAGAGAAACCCTGTCTCAGGGGGAAGAACAGTTTATCCCCATGGGGTGTAGAGGCAGGAGTCCAGCTGGCTATGCTCTCGCTGCCAGACCCAGGGGGGCAAGCCTTAGAACAGTCACCTCCCAGGGCCTTTGGCATGCTTGGTTGGGGGCCGCTTCCCTTGCTCCGATCTCTAGTCTCCCCACACCCCTGCACATTGCCTCTGCTGTGTCTTCTCTGGCACAAGTGGCTTGCTCTTGGATTTAGGGTCAACTTAGATAATGTATGGGGCCCTCAAGATCCCAGGGCATAGACAGTACAGTGCTTAGCTAGCATACACGAAACCCTGGATTCCATCTCCAGCATGGTGGAAACCCGGCTGGACGGAGCACACCTGCAAACCCAGCAAATCATCCTTCAGCCAGCCTGGACCACAAAACCAACACTCCACCCGGCTCCTCTGCGCTCTGCGTCCCCACTGCTGAGGCATAGATTGTGGGGTGCACAAGCCATGGTTAGCTTGCTGAGCAGTGTTGCTCTTAGAGCACCAAAGCTGCTCTGTATAGCACTTCAGGGGGTTTGTCACATCCAATCAACAGGTGTCACACTAGTGCTGGCTTTGTCCCTGTGAGAGCTAGCCCCTCAGACCCTATAAGGTGAAGTTTTTCTGCTCTAATCTGGGAGACGAGGTAGTAAACTGGACAAAGTGCAAGGTGTCTTGTTTTTGTGCAGTTCTGGGGATTGAACCAAGACTTCCCCCACACTAGGCAGGCTCTCACTGAGGAATTCTAGGCAGCTCTACTGCTCACCCACACCTCCAAACCTGTTCAGTGTTCTCTCTCTTCTTCAGTTCATCTAAATCTCTAGCCTGTTCCCAGCCTTTCCTGCAGCACTCATGTCCCCTCTGGAAATTCTGGCATACTTCTATTCTTGCTTTGGCTAATGACTTGAGAGTGGAAATTGAAGGTTACTCCTGGGAGAAGCCCAAGAGGCTTGGAAATGGATGTGAGGGAAGTGAGCTTGTGTTGTGGTGACCCTGTCCTAATTTTTTTAGTGTTTGAAACTGAACCCCCACATTCCCGTTGCTGCTATCTCCAGTGGGAGCTTTAATGGAGTAATATACTGGGCCTGGTATCTTAGCACTGTAAGGCTGGGGCAGGAGAATCACTGTAAGTTCTAGAACAGTTTGGGACACTGAGTTCTAATTCTGCCAGGCTTAGTCAGACTCTCTTTTTGAGAGTCTCACTAAGAAACACTGTGTAGCCCTGGCCTGGAACAATGGGAGGGCACAACCACGGCGAGTGGTGTCACCCATGGCCTGGTGGTTCTGGGTTTTATTAGAAAGCAGGCTGAGCAAGCCATGAGGAGCAAGTCAGAAAGCAGCACTCTTCCGTGGCCCCTGCATCAGCGGCTGCCTCCAGGCTCCTGGCAGGCTTCAGCTCCTGATTGGGCTTGCTTCGGTGGACTGTGACTTGGACCCCTGACTTGCTTTTTGTCATGCTGCTTCATCACAGCAGCAGTAACCGTAACTAACACACACAGCATGAAAACATGAAAACAGGAGAGAGGCTTTGTTGTCAAGACCTCTCTGAAGAATTGTCATGCCACGAGATACCCTCAATCCCATTATCACGCCAGAAAGGCCTGGCAAATGCCAACCAGATGGGGCCCCTCCCAGCCTCAACAGCCATGTGCTGAAGCCTTTATTCTTGGCAAGTGACAGCCTGGGGCAATCAGTTACAGCCACAGAAAATGGACTAGTAAGTTGAGCCTGATGACTTGTGCCTACCATCCCACTGGCAGAAGGATCAGAACTCCAAGGTCATCTTTGGTGCCATAGGAAGTCCAACCAGGAGATGGAGTTCAAAACCAAACCAAGCAAATAGACAAACCCCCAACAAAGAGGACACTACCAACAAACCGTAACATACAAGGAAAAAAGAAATGGATGAAGACAGCCTCCATCAGCCCAGTTCCCTGGGCAACAGTAATGAACAGAGAGGAGAGAGGGAGGGAGAGGAGGAAGACCTTGACTTGTGAAACGAATCAACGGCTGGCTATAGCCACAGATACCGGGCTACTGCAAGTGACTGTTCCTCCACCCACTTCTCTTCCCTGTGGCCTCCATGTTCAGCCTGGGTGAGCATCAGAGACTCACTTGTTGTGTTTGGCTACTCACTTGTCTTGTTTTGTGACCTTTTATGGTAAAAAGGCTTTGGCAGGGACGATTAGGAAGAGCGCCTGTCCACACAGGCATACAATCCCGGCACTGGAGGCAGATGTCGCAGGAGGCTCACAAGAATTCCAGATTAGGATGTGAGATGGCTCAATGATGAGATGATGAAGGTTAGGACTAACAAGCATAAACACCTAAGTTTGGTCCCATGAACCCAAAACCAACATGGCAATGGAGAGAAATGACTTCCATAGGCTGATTTCTGACATACATACATACATACCCTCCCCCAACAAAATGTTGTTATTATTCTGAGACTGGGTTTTCCTGTTAGCCCCAGCTATCCTAGAACTCGTTTTGTAGACCAGGCTGGCCTTAAAACCCTGAGATCCACCTGCCTCTGCCTTCCAAGTGCTGGGATTAAAGGTGTTTGTTACCACAGCCCAGCATAAAACTTTTTTTTTTTTTTTTTAATGAAAACAAACAAAAACAAACCCCAAAACTTTGTTCCAGGTCAGGCAGGACTATATAGTGAGACCCTAATTCAAAAACAAACAAAACAAACAAAAAACCCTAATGAGGGGCTGGAGAGATGGTTCAGTGGATAAGAGCATGGATTGCTCTTCCAGAGGACCCGGGTTCAAGTCCCAGTACCCGCATGACAGCTCACAACTGTAACTATAGCATCCAATACCCTCATATAGACATACAGACAAAACACGAATAAAAAAATTAAAAAAAAAACCAACAACCCTAATGCTTCCATTCCAAATCCAGCAGTCAGGATGAGGCATGAGGTGTACAGATTAACTATGCCCTAAGATACTGCTGAAAAAGACAAAAGAGGGGAAAAGAAAAGCGAAACCACAAACCTAAAACCCAAACTAAACGCTAAATCCATGGGCATCTGCTGTGACAGCAAGCACCTGGTTAGCTGGGGCCTTGGGCAGCCAGGTCGGGCCTCATAGCTGTGCCCTCAGTACCTGGCCCAGCAGAGGCGGCCTCTGCTCAGGCTGGCATATCGGGGCTGTGCTGGGATACAGACCTTCCAGTTCAGAAAGAGGACTTACGGGAAGGACGTGGCCTTGGCCCAGCCAATACTGGAGTCAAGCAAAAATGGACAAAGCCTTCCAGGGACTTCCCTAGCGTGATGGATGGGGCTGAGTTCCTTTATCCATCCCATAAACAGTGTACTCTCAGGGCTGCCTACTGGGCCACACACAAAGAAGCCACTGTTCCTGCACCCTCAAAAGCACAGTTGAAGTCACTCAGTTTATTGGAAGCCATGGGATGTCTGAGAGAAAAGTTCCAAGTGTTTGATATCCCTGGGCAAGCAGGATGGCTTCAGGCATCAGTCCCCCATTGGCAGCCACAGGGCCTTGGTTCGTGCTGCTTGCAGACTCAGCTCGGGTCCAGCCCCCTCGACCTCCACATCCCAGGCCCTGGGGGAGCCCCCGTTTACCCATATAGATTTAAGGTTTCCTGCAGAGGCCCATTCCACAAACTGGGAACCCTGCAGGAGGAAGACATGCCATTAGCACTGGCAGCAGTTTAGTTGCTAAACAGCTGCTTCCTTAGCAACAAGGACCCAAAGACAACAAGGCTGAACACCTGGATCCTGGTCTCCCTCCAGAGGCAGAGGAAGTAGAGCCAGGGAATCCGCATCTTCCCCAGTGCTCATGTTCAAGGCCCTTGCCAACTGGGGTTTCCCAGCTTTAGGAGGGTGGACCTGTGGCCTCAGGACGCTGCAATGATGCAGTCCTTTGCAACAGCTCTTCTAAAAACATGAAGTCTTTGGGCAACGGAGGCTTTAGGCCGTGTTGTTAAGGGCACCCTCCTCCTCCTTAGTGACTGGGTTTTTACCAGGGCAAGGCCTCAGTAGCTGTTGCCAAGGCATGTCTTCCTTTGAGCAACAGGGGTCCTCAGGAGCTGAGGCCATGCACCCAGCAGAGAAGTCTGTTGGTGAAAGTTAAGACCCTGAAGTACCTGGGCAGAGCCGAAGTACCACAGGGCCTGGATGTCCTGATGTAAGGCCAGGCAGCGGGTCAGGTGGTCCCGATCTCCTGTCACTACGTTCACCAGGCCAGCAGGGAACAGGGTAGCCATATCCTAGGATGTGAGAGCATGGGACAACCCGGGCTGAGCAGCAGGGGGAGCAAGGTGAAGAGTGGGTATTTGGGAGTGGCTGTAGGGGCACCTATAGGAACAGGGCCTGGGTAACAGATCTGGGAGCAGCCGGCAGGAGGGGAGGCAGGTGATTTTACCTGACAGATCTCCAGGGCCAGCAGAGGATAGGCCCCACTGGGTACTATGACCACAGCGTTGCCGTGGGCCAGGGCAGGGGCCAGCAGCGACACGAAGGCCAGCAGGGGCCACTCATCTGGGCATACCACAGCCAGAACTCCCAGCGGCTCTCGAAGTCGGAGCACGGGGCCTTTCAACCCTGTTACCTACAGGACAGGTGACAAATTAAGCACAAGTTCCCAGAGCCTTCTGCACCCCTGCTCCAGGCTCCACACCTGACATGTTCACACCTCCAGAGGGACTCTAATAAAGTGTGATGGAACAAAACTCTGGGGCCCAGCGGCTGCTCATTGGCTTTGTGGATCTGTATGAATTACTTAACCTCTCTGGGTGTCTGTGTCTTGCCTTGAATCTATCATGCTCCTGCCTCAGTTTACGGAGTAGTTGGGATTTTGGGCCTGTGCCATCTGTGTGTTTATGGTACTGTAGAGGACTCTAAGCGTGCCAGGAGGCAAGTGTTTTACCACTGAGCCACACTCCGACACTTCTTTGTGGCTGGCTCATGCTCACAGATCTGCAGGCTCTGCTGGGGTTAGGGGTGTGTGCCACCACTGCTTGGCCTGATTTATTTATGTTTACTTATGTTTGTTTCTTTTCCCCCAAGACAGGGTTTCTCTGTGGAGCCCTGGCTGTCCTGGACTCACTTTGTAGACCAGGCTGGCCTCGAACTCACAGCAATCCACCTGCCTCTGCCTCCTGAGTACTGGGATTAGAGGCGTTCGCCCCACTGCCCAGCTTATTTTAATTGTGTGTGTGTGTGTGTGCGTGTGTGAGGCACAGTTGTGTGCACTTGTGAGTGCTAGAAAGGGGTTAAGATTGCCCTGGAGCTAGAGTTACAGGAGGTTGTAAGGCTCCTTAGCTGGACAGTAAGGACAGCAAGGACGGCTCTTTACTGCTGCTCCATGTCTTTGTGGCTTTTTGACAAAGGATTTCACTACACATCCCCGGCTGACCTTGGACTTTTGATCTTTCTGCCTCTTTTTTTTTTTTTTTTTACAAATGCTGAGGTTATAGGCCTGAACCAGCATGCCCACTGTGTGTTTACAAAAGCCTTTTGGATAAGGTCAAACCTACGTTAGATGGATTTTACAGTATTCACTCATGAGCACCCTGCTTTCCTGTGAGCATTGTATCCTCTTCCCCCACCCCAACCTAAGCCCTCTGGGTTCTCAGAAAAGCAGTGGTCTGTCTCACCTCTTATCAAAAGTGAGCTGCATCTTCTAGACTTTCTGGAGCTAAGCCTGGCCTTATGCCTGCTTCCCTGGGCTCTGGCTCTTGGCCGCCTGTCCTGGCCACCTGCTTAGAGCTGTCTCACCTGTAGTGTTTGGCCTTGGTCCTGGACCCGGGTGCCCCATATCTGGAGCCGCCTCACACTCAGCTCTACTTCGATTTTGGCATCCACAGGTGCTGCTCCGTGCCGCTCTAGCTGGGAGGCCAGGGTTGGCTTCCTCCGCTCCAGTGCAGCCGCCAGGGCCCACAGCAGGCTTGCTCGGGCGCCTGGAGACTGGGTCCCCCAGCTGTGGGCAAACTACATATTAGGGGTACAACCTGGCCCCAGCTATTCCCAGATAGGCACCCATATGCATAGCCTCAACCTGGGGCTCCAGTCCCAAGTTCACTCCTGTCCCAGCCACCCATACCTTTGGGCTTTCATTGACCTTACCCAGGGGCAGCCTGATGGGCAGCCTCTACAGCACCTCTGATGTCCTTGGCTCCACCCTCGGCTACATAGCTGCAGACTTTGCCCGAAGAATCTTGGATAGGCCTGGAGCTCTGGGTCCCAGGAGTCTGGAAACGGCCCCCGACAAATAGACCATAGGGAGGTGCTGGGCTGTACAGAGTGAGGTGTGAGGAGGCTCTGGGCCCACTTAGGCCTCGTTCTCCACTACACTGGTTGGACCATCTCAGTTCCCATGAACCTTCTGGACTCAAACTTCTAATCCCATGAGCTTCTTGGAAGATTCAAACACCTGCTCCCATAAGCCTCTGGGGGATTCAGAATTCCTATCTCATGAGCTTCTGGGGTCATCCAAAATTCTTACTGTAATGAGCCTCGAGGATACTCAAATTCTATTCCTATGAGCATCTGGGTACCGTCTTAATTCTTGCTTCTGGGATAACTCAAACCATTAAGTAGAACTGAGATTCTCTTTATACTTAGGGTTAGAGCTATGAGACCCTAAAATCCAGAAAGCTACACTAAGAACTGGAGACCCCAAGACTGGCTCTAAGTGGCGCCCTTCAAACCCTCTCACCTTCGCCCTTAGATACCAGGCCTGCAACAACTCACCTAGGCCCCGTTTCTGGTCCTGACGGCAGGCTGGAGGGCACAGCAAGGCCAAATGTGTCGTAGTTGAGACTCTCACAAAGGAAAGGTTCCCAGAAAGGTGTCCCCAAAGGCCGCAGATACTCATACAGGCCCTGTGAGAGGTACGTGGTCACAAGGAGGGCAGATGGACTCAAGAGTAACTGGGGGTCGGGGGTCCAGATGGGCACTCACATCCAGGCCGCCGTGCCAGGAAGACCCACTCTCCTTGCAGCCACCTGTGGGCACCGCAGGGTCTCGGAGGCCATGGGCATTGATCCACACGGTGCCTACTTGGAGCCTATGAAGCAGGGGTAGGGGAAAGACTGGAAGCTGGGTCAAGGGAGGAACTGGGTCAAGGGAGGAGGGAGACACCTGAGTGGGAGACAGGATATGGGCAGGGGGAGGGAGCGCCAACTGACCCGTAGCCCAGCTCCAACGCCTGCCCTAGCCTCTCACTCCACACACTGGCGCTGCCTCCCCGGGGTGTGGCATTAGCCAGGGTTAATGCCTCCTTGGCTGTGCGGAAAGAGTAGGCCACCACCACAGGCCATGGTACCTAGAAGGGGTGTCAGGTATCAGCTCCTGTCAATATTTCACCCATCTGAGGAGCCGTTACTAGCGTTCACGGCCCCAGGTCCCAGGGTCACTCAGAAACATCCTAAGGTACAGCGCAATTGCCTGTGAGTGACTGAGGACAGAAGGGCAAGATGTCTACCATCTCAGGAGCCTCACCTCAGCCTGAGCACATGGGGCTGCTGGAGGCAGGCCAGAAACCAAGGCTGGAGAGAAGAATGGGCCACTGGAGGGCACATCACCAGCCTGGAATACCTGGGGAGAAGCAGAAACAGAGATGTCTGTCCTCCCTAGACCCAGGGGTCTATCTCAGCTCTCCTCCCTAAGCCTCCAGGCTTCAGCTCTCCTCCCTCAATCGAGGTATCTAGGCCCCAGCCCTCCTCCTTCAGACCCAGGGGTCCAGGCCCCAACCTCCTTCCTCAACCTGGGCACCCAGACCCTAACCTTCCTCCCTTAGTAAAGTCCAGATGCCAACTTCTCTTCTGAACTCTGAGGCGCATGGGCCTTAGCTCTTCTCTCAGACCCAGGGGTCTAGGGCATGCCCCTCCTTACGCTGACACAGCAGGTCTAAGGCTCCACTGTGTGGATGGGGCTCACCTGTCCACCCTGGCTTTGGGCCTCATCCACAAAGCTCTGGGCCAGGTCTCGGGCAGCAACTCCTCGAGTCCCCATGTCCACAGCGCCATCCAGTCCTTGCCCACTCCGTAGCTGTGCCATCCTGGCCTGAAGTCGCCTCATAGCTTCATCCCACACAGATTCCTGGATGAAGAGCCTGAGCCCACCCTGTTGGAAAAAGGCATTAAAAGTGGGCAAAGTCAGGGGCAATGTAGGGAGACTAGGCTCCCACAGAGGGGTGGACCTCAGAGATGAAAGAGCAGGCAAGAGGTGCAGTGCAGAAAATTGGTGCCTTGCCCAGAATGGTATCCCAGGAGGATCTGAAGTTCAAGGGTAGCCTGGTCTACATAGTGAGTTGGAAGCCAGCTTGGGCTATACAAGACCCTGTCTCAATGATGAAAAGGTCCAAAGAGCAGAAAGTAAAAACAAGTTTGGAGTGAACAGCCCAAGCATTTGGAGAGATGGCGGGCCCCTGGACTTGGGGACATGAGCACACAGGCCTCACCAGGCTGCGGTCTGACCAGACGGCGTCTATAACACCCTCTACAGCTGAGTCCACATCTGCTGAGTCCATGAGCAGCAACAGCGACTCTGTGCCCAGGGCCAGGCCCAGCTTGGGCCCCTTGCCTGCTAGAGTCCGTCGCAGAGCGCGTCCTTCCTGAGGGAGCCCATGGACTTCAGTTATGGCAGGAGCCTCTTGGCCCTTAGCCATGTCCATCCCACTCCCAGCCCTGAAGATACCTCCACAGCTCCACAGAAGGCCACCTTCTGGACTCCAGGTTGGGAGGCCAGAACAGGCCCCAGAGAGGCAGGGCCACATACCACACTGAGGATCCCTGGGAAAGAGCCGAGCTCCCCTGCCAGCTGAGCCAGGAGGAGAGATGTTGGGAAGGCTGGGGGCACAAGGGCCACCACAGTGCAGCCTGGGGAAGGGGAACAACTAAGGAGCCTGAAGTCCAGACCCCTGCCCTCCTCTTGCACTCCCGGGGTCCAGGTGCCGGCCCTCCTCCTTCGGACCCCAACCACCCTCTCTGAGAAAAGGAGGGGGGACGACATAGCCCTCACCTACCCATGGCCAGGGCCGGGCAGACCCTCCACATCATGTCCAAGAGAGAGAAAGATGTTGGCAGGATGAGGCCAATGATCCCTGCATAAACAAACAAACAAATCCATACTAAGGGAATGGACAGGCTGGTTTCCTGGGGCAAGAGGGCTGTTAGGGGCACACAGGCTCTCACCCATGGGCTCCCAGCCTGCCAGTGCCTTCTCCTGGGCATGTGCCTGGACTGCATTGTACTGGAGCAGTTGCTGGGCCAGTGGGACATCGCCATCTCGAACTTCTCGAACAGCCCGCCCAGTGACCAGGGACTCCAGGGTAAACAGTAGTCGCTGGTGCTTCTGGATAACCTTGGCCAGCCTTTGGAGAATACAAGGAGTTCCTTGCCTAGAGCAACCTGGACTACAATCCCCACAAGTCTCCGGGGTCAGATCCATAATTTATCATGGACAGCAGGTATCAAAGCTATACAGGAAATGTCGTCTAGGAGAGTCTCAAAACTCTGGGGGTGCTATAGAACGGTCCTGGTCAGCAATTACCAGCCAGTTCCAAAGATAGCTGGGAACTTGAATCTTAGCCTCTATCTAATTGCATTACAGCTGTCCCATACTGTGATGAGAAGCAGGGAGCTGATTCTAACGAAGTGCTGAGAAATAGAGCCCTCATGATGCTCTGATGCTACTAGTTGCAGTGAACTGTGAGAAATAATGCCTGCTCTGGACACTGAAGGCCAACACACATTTGGGAAACATGAGCCATTAATTCACAAGGATCTGGGGAAATGGAATCACTGTTTCCAGTCTCCTGGGAATCCTGAGGGACAAGGCCTTTCTCTTCTGCTGCAGGCCTTGCCTGGGCCTCCTCACCGGGTTAGGTGCTGGGCCCGAGCAGCTCCAGGAACTTGGCTCCAGGTCTTGAATGCTGCCCTTGCAGCCTCCACAGCTGCAGCAATGTCCTCAGCCTCTGCCTGTAGACAGCTGGCCAGGTTTTCTCCTGCAGGGACAAGTGGGGCTCAGCCAGGGGAAGCCCACATTAGAACCATCCAGGGCAGTGAAAACAGCCGCCAGCTCCCCTGTGGGTCTCAGGGCCTTCCTTCTTTAGTCCTGGTCACTGCTCTGACCAAGTCCCACAGGGAGCCACCGTCCTTTTCCTTTCTTATTGTGTTTTTAAGCTTTTGTTTTATTTATTTGGATCTAGTTATGAGTGTTTTGCCTGCATGTATTTCTGTACCCACACGCACGCAGTGCTCACGAGGGTCAGAGGATGCCAGACCCCTTGGAACTGGAGTCTGGTGACTGAGTCATCACGTAGAGCTGGGGACTGAACCCAGGCTTTTGAAAGAAGCAGCCAGTGTTCTTAATCAATGAGCTAACTCTCAAGTCCCTCTCTTATTGTACCTTTAAAATTTATTTTATTATTATTATTACTTTTTCAAGATAAGCTTTTTCTGCGTATTCCTAGCTGCCTCTGCCCCCTGAGTGCTGGGATTAAAAGCATGTGACACCACCACCCAGCCTTTAACATTTTTTTTTTTTTAATTTCATGTATGTTGGTGTTTTGCTTGCATGTATGTCTGTGTGAGGTGTCAGATCCTCTGGAACTGGAGTTATACAGTCGTGAGCTGCTCTGTGGGTGTTGGAAATTGAACCTGGGTCCTTTGGAAGAGCAGTCAGTTTTCTTAACCACTGAGCCTCTAGCCTCCTTTATTTTTAATTACGTGTGTGTCTGTGTGTGGGTATAAACACATTAGTGCAGGTACCCCTGGAGATCAGAAGAGGGCATAGGATCCCCTGGAGCTGGAGTTACAGGTGATTGTACGCAGCCTGAGCCTGACACGGGTGCTGGGGACTGAGCAAACCTAGGTTTTCTGAAAGAACACTGAGCTGTCTCTTCAGCCCCTTGCATCTTCTTCCTTTTCAGTGCCTCACTGTGAAGCTGGCCTGAACTCACTCTGGAGTTCAGGCTGGCCTCAAACTCATGCTCCTCCTGCTTCAGCCTCTGGACTGCTGGGATTAGAGGTATGAGCCTCTACACTCAGCTTGTGGAAGGAATTTTAGGAGCAAGGGTCTTCAAAGAGCATTTTTTAAATGTGCACATTATAGGAACTATAATTACTGAGACTGTCATCAGGAGAAATGAGAGCCCTCATCTCCACCACCCCCATCAGTGACCTGAGAAATGAGAGGCCCCACCTCCCACCCCCATCAGTGACCGCTCCTGCACTCAGGGCCTTAAGCAGAGGGGTATGGCATGGCTCAACAATAAGAGAGGTCTTTGTCCCTCCCAAATGACTGGACTCATCAAAAACCTGTGATGGGATCTTGACAAGGCACTTGATTCCTGTGTTCTGGCTTCAGCCACATCCCATTGACATAGTGGCCCAAGAGGCGGTTGTGGCTGTCCAGCCAGGCCTGGAGGAAGAAAGGAGTTTGAAGGGCCTCTGAAGCAGCTGGGACAATTCAGCCCTAGCCAGGTTCTCCTTAGGGAGACATTTGCACCCTTTTGCCCTCAGATGATTATTTTCCTCCTGTCTGCTTGTTGTTTTTGTTTTGTGCTGGGATTGAACTCAAGATCCTATACTCTTAACTCCAACCCATTATTTTTTTTAATGCGGTTAAAACATTCTCTGAAGCTCACACACTAGCCAGTAACTGATGCTTTAGCATGTGTACACACACACACACACACACACACACACACACACACACACGCCCTGCCTATATAGAGCTCCAGTTCTGAGGGTAGCCTGGGCTACTTGGCAAGGTCTTGGAATCTTTCTTTTCTGTTTCTTTCTCTTTTTAAGACAGAGTCTCAGGGTTGGGGATTTAGCTCAGTGGCAGAGCGCTTGCCTTGCAAATGGAAGGTCCAGGAGTGGGGGAGGGGGCGGGACAGTGTCTCATGTAATAGCTTAGGTTGGTCTAAACTCACTGAGTGTCATAAGTTCCAGACCTCCTGCACCCTCTACTGTGTACACTACTACGCCTGGCTTAAATGTGAAACATTTAAAATTTTAAAACATTAAGATACTTTTGTCCACAGCGAAATGACCTTAAGTTAACTTTGTTTCCTTGTAAACATAATTTGGAAGTGGTGTTTTTTTGTTGTTGTCGTTGTTTTTTGGTGCAGGGGCTCCACTGCTCAACTTTATTCCCACCTGTCTCTGTTGCCAGGCAACACTGACCTCACACTGGTCCAGGACACCTGGTGTCCAGTCAGCATCCTCCAGGCAACAGCACCCGGCTTTTCTGTGCCCTGTGGGGCTGCTAAGCCAGCAACTGTACCCACCTATATAATCCCATTCCTTTCCATCCCAGCCATCACCCATGGGAGGACAGGGAGGACTCCAGGCCCAGTGCAGGCTGCCAGGCTGTGGAGTCTGCTTGGTACACACTTGCTGCACAGGCACTGTCTAGGCTGGAGTTCTTGGAGGCTCTGGTCAGATAGCCTGGCTCTGAGTCCTAGCTCTGCTGCTTAGTGACCATGTAATTGTGTGTACACATTGTACGTGAAGGCCAAAGTGTGACGTTGGCTATCCTCCTCAGTTGCTCTCTACCTTATTTTTTTATTTTTGGGTCCTTTATAGACCAGGCTAGCCTCAAACTCAGATATCCTCTTGCCTCTGCCTCTGGAATGCCACCACTGCCAGGCTTAGCCAGGGGCTTAGAAGACTGCCTCTGGTAAACCACCCCAAGCCTGGTGACAAGGGAAGGGATCGTATGTTACGACATACTTTCGATCTTTTTGTGACTGACCTTCATTTCACCTCTCTTTCCAGGCTGCTTTCTCTTCCTTACATCTACTTCACACTTTCTGATGTTCTCCCCTTATTTTGACAACTGGCCCTGTCATTGTTTACTTTTTTTTAAAAAAAAAAGAATTATTTATTTTTTTATGTATATGAGTGCTCTATCAGCATGTCCACCATGTCAGAAGAAGGCATCAGAATCCAGTATAAATGGTTATGAGCCACAATGTGGTTGCTAGGAATTGAACTCAGAATAGTGCCTGTAACCACTGAGCCATCTCTTTAGGCCACTTTTAAAAAAAAAAAAAAACAAAAAACAAAAAAACAAAATGAGCTCAGTGTGGTAGCACATGTCTATAATTCCAACACTTGGGATGGTGAAGCAGGAGGATCACCACGAGTTAAAGGCCACCTTGGCTACATAGGGAGACCATATCTCAAAAATGAAAAACAAAAAACAACAACAATAAAAAAATGGCAGGCTGGGGAATCATCTTAGTCAGTAATATGCTTGCCTTGCACATTGGACCTAAGTTCAATCCCCAGGACCCATGGGAAAAAGTGGATCATGGCACACACATTTGAAGCCTCGGTGTTAGGAAGGTGGAGGAGGATCCTTGGGGCTCAAAGGACAGCCAGCCTAACCTATATGGGGAGTTCCAGCCTAGGGAGAGACCAATTCAAAAGAAAGAAGGTTGGAGCAGAAGAGCTAGCTCCTTGGTTTTGAGAACCCATATCAGGCAGCTCACAACCACCTGCAACTCCAGCTCCAATGGTCTAAAACCTTCCTCTGGCCTCCTTATAAAATCACCCACAGGTATGTACACACACACACACACACACACACACACACACACACACACACACACCATAAATAACAAAAAGTAAATCTTGGCCAGCCAGGTGTGGTGATGCACACCTTTAATCCCGGCACTTGGGAGGCAGTGGCAGCTGAATTGCTTGTAAGTTCAAGGCTGGTCAGGAAGGACTACATAAAGTAACCCTGTCCCCAAAAAGCAAAAACAAGATTTTAAAAACCCTTCCAAATAAATAGATAAAGATATTTTATCTGTTTGTTTATCGAGACAGGGTTTCTTTGTATAGCCTTGGCTGTTCTGGACTTGCTTTGTGGAGCAGGCTGGCCTTGAACTCACAGAGATCTACCTACCTTGGCCTCCCAGAGTGTTGGGATTACAGGAGTGTGCCACCACGCCTGGTAATAACAATCTTTTAAAAATAAAAGCTGTCACCCAAAAGTTCCAACTGTAGTGTCCACAAGGATGGGGCCATTTTGGAAGTGGGGCCATACGAACATGAACTGGGCACTAATAACTGACAGTGCTGGGAAAACAAATAACAGAGTGACGGTTAGAATTAAAGACTCAAATATTTATGGGAAAGTAGCAGAACAGCTGGCATTTGTTTAAACTACTCTTGAAAAAAAAGAAAGGGACAAGACAACATTGGATTGAGTGTTCCTTGTTGAAGCTGACTGATGAGGACATGAATGTTCCTAATATCAATCACTGTGTAAAAGATGGAAAACTTCCCTCCTAAAGGAAAAACAAACTCCCCCAAGGGTGTCCACAGACTCTGGGCAGGCCACAGGAGTGGAGAAGAGAGCCTGCTGGACACTGAGAACTTAAAATGTCCCAAAGTAGCGAAGACAATTGGTTCCAGGTGACTTTTGTCAGGGAACTGGAGCCAAAGGGTTGCCAAACTTTGGAATTTTATTTTCAGAGAAATTAGAATCCAGGATGTTTAGAAGGAATTAATTGTACAATAATTGATATTTCCAAAACAGAGCTCAAGCCAAAGAAAACATGTTTTCTGGTTGAGCTGCCCACAGACTGTAAACCTCTGTTGGAATAATGGGGGCAACTGGTGGGGAGCACCAGAAAACAAGGCACAGTGACAGGCCCAGCTCTTTCAGTTTTTGAGACTGTTTCGCTAGCTAATTTTGGATTCATAACTCTCCTGCCTGTCTTTCCAAATGCTGGGATTACTAGTGTGTGCCAGTATCCAAATTCCTTTAATTTGTGTGGACTATGGACAAATTAGTCCCTCATCAACAGTCACTAAAATAACAAGAATAATCCCCTCTCTGCTGTCCTGAGGATTAAGTAAAACCGTGCTTAGCAGAGCTGGCACAACCCCTCCATCCCAGCCTTCAACATACAATTGCTATTTCAGGACACTCCACCTCTTACCAGGTCCCATCTGTAGAGTCTCTGAATTGACCCAAATCCTCTCACCTACATCCGTATTTCTAGGTACTCCTAGAGTCCAGTTCCTTTTTAACTGGCATCTCCCTGGCTGGTGTCTCTACTGTAATTGTTTGTCCAGAAGTATCAAGTCCAAGTAACACAAGATTCCATCTCATTCACAGCCTCCATGTCAACTGAGCTCAGTGTCTATCCTAGCCTGTAAACCCAGCACTTTCGAAGAGGCAGGTGGATCTCTGTGAGTTTGAAAGTCAGCCAGCCTGGCCTACAAAGCCAGTCCAGGACAGACAAGCTTACATAGAGAAACCGTCTCAAAAAACTAAAAATAAACAAAAACCCTTGTCTTCCTCACATCCAAGGCTGACCTCTAGAAACCAGCCTTGGAGGGAGGTAAGCCGTGTCCTCGATTAAAAAAGCTTAATTATTTTGGCTATGATAATTTGGGTCTTTCTCCTCGAATCTTTGGGATTAACACTGTAAACTTCCAAAGCTAGAACCCTTCTGCTAGTGTGGGGACTCCCCTTAGGGACTAAAGTCTTCCACCTGGCCATCTCTCTAAGCTCCTTAATATCTGCCTGAATGCTGGAAGAATGAGCATCGGGATTAGCCCTTGAGTTTGATAGAAAATCCCAGGAACCCTACTAAATTCCACTGGGACTCCAAGAGGGTTTTGGAGCCCAAGGTCTCTTAAGGAATAAAACAAATATAAACCAAATACGAAACTCTCCCAAAGTAACCAATTAAACTTGACAGGGAGGGGGAGAAAGAGGAAAGAGGAGGGAAGGGGAAGGGGAAGAGAAGAGAGGGAGGGAGGGGACAGGGGGAGAGGAAGACGATCGAAAGGTCCGGAAGGATCCTGAGACAGGGGGAGAGGAAGATGATCGAAAGGTCCGGAAGGACCCTGAGAACTCGTAGGACACTCAGAGGGGCGGGGAGTCACGAGAGCATGGTAAGCACATTCAGACAGGGGCAGGCAGTCACAGGAAGTTCTGAGAGAACTCGGGGTTCTGAGCGTTCCCGTGGGCCTCCAAAGGGCCAGGGGCCACAAGAAACCACGGCCCGGCGCGGTGAGGCCTCACGAGGACCACCGGGCGAGGACGAGCGCCCAGCGCCCAGGCTCCATCCCGCAGCGGGAAGCCGCGCGAGCCGAGGGGGCGGGGCTGCCGAGCGCGCCGCAGCGCCTGACGGGAGCCCGCGCGTCGAGGCGGCCCGTGGGGCAGAAGAGGGGGGTGGACGGCCGCCGCCAGGCCAGCCTCACCCGTGCGCATGCGTGGCTCTCCGGCACCGGTCCGTACTCCAGCGTCGTGAAAATCTCCCGGGCACAGGGCCGTGCCCGCGCGGCCGCCATCGCTCGCCGCGCACCTTCCGCGGAGGCCTGCCGGACGCTCTATCCCGGGGAAGTTGGAGGTCCGAAGGGCGGCACCGCCCACACCAAGGGGCGGGTCCAACGAGAGGCCCAGGCTGCAGGCTCCAGGGCGTGACCCGCCGCGTTAGAGCCCTTTGGGGGACTCTGGGAAATGTAGTTTCAGGAGGACAGCAATTGGGGCGGGGGCTGTTTCGCTCACTAGCAGAAGGGCTTCGGCTATTGTTTTGACCCTTTAGAACCTCTAGCTGGCCTGGAGCTCTCTGTGTGGACTCGGCTGGCTTTAACTCACCAAGATCCACCTACCTCTGCCTCCCGAGTGCTGTTAAAGGCGTGCGCCACCACACCCGGCTGAAAATATTTCTCTTTCTCTTGTTTGGGTGTTTTTCCTCAGCTATGACTGCACCCCGCGTGTGCAGTGCCTAGCGAGGCCGGAGGAGGGCTGGGAAGGCACTGCGCTGGAGTTAGAGCAGCTGGGAGCCACCGCGTGATGTTAGGCGCGGAACCCCAGCCCTCTCCAGAACCAACACGTGTTCCTAGCTGCTGCGCCATCTCTCCACGCCTGACACGTTGTTTAGAACCAGCATAGATTTACTTGATGGGCATGGTTATTTTGCCCGCATGCATGTCTGTGCGTCATGTACAATGCTGTATCCCAGGAGGCCGGAAGAGGGCGTTGGATCCCCCAGAACTGGAGTTACAGGAATAGTGGATGTTGGGAGTCAAACTCTGGCCTTCTGGAAGAGCAGTCAGCACTCAGCCGTTGAGCTACCTCTACAGCCCCCTACCCCGCGGAACTTCTTTTTAAACAAGATCCTTCGTTTTGTTCCGAAGGGGCAGTTGATAGCATTGTGATTAAGAGTGTGTGTGTTGGTTGGGAAGATACTAAAGTTTTCAAGGCGACAATCCTCTCCGAACGCCAGCTGTACTTAGGGAAGGGCGGAAATACTTGTATTGATTCAAGGCACTGTCTCACTTCTCGGTCCTCCTCAGCCCTTATTTCTGATTGGTTAGTTAAGGGGGCGGGGCTGATTGGGCCTTGAGGCCGTCGGAGGTGTGGTTACTTCAGTTCCTTGGTGATACAGAGGCCGGAAGTGTGGCTTTCTTTTACGTATCGGCCAAACGGGACCGATCTAGAGACCCAACAGATTTGAGGACGGAGTCTTCATCATAATGGAACCGTAGACCATTCCCAGGACAGACTTTAGGATTCTGGGCGGAGGACGGCGATTTAAGACTGGCTGGCTGGGCTGCAGTGGCACATGCCTTTAATCCCAGCACTAGGCAGGCGGGTATCTCTGAGTTCAAGGACAGCCTGATCTAAAACGCGAGTTCCAGCACAGCCTGGGCTACACAGAGAAACCCTCTCTCGAAAAACAAAACAAAAAAGAACCGACTGTGGCCATGCAGTAGGCTGGCTTCGTTTAATCGGGAAAAGTTCTCCACGTTTTGGACGCTTAGGACTTTTTCCTAGGGCCATGGCGGATTCGAAACTTCTGGCACCAGAGCTAAGCGACACAGAGTCGATGGGTGACGACACGACTCGGTTTCAGGAGCTGCTGCTGCAGGTGCGGGCTGCCTGGACTTGTGGAAACATGGGTATTTAAGGGTTTATTAGCTGGCACTCAGAGATGTAGCTTCAGTTTCCAGAATGCGCTACAGCAACAAGGAGGCCTTTGGGAATTTTAGTGTTTTGCTTAAAGTTTACCAGGTTTTAAGAGAAATGAAGTTGGGTGGTCTTGGGAGTCCTCATAAAAAGAAAAGGGGTCTCGGCTGTGTAATATCACATCTGAACCCCAGCTGTCACCTATGTTTTCCTGTAGATGTTTGAGAAGCAGACTCATCCTGGAGCATTGCTTTCTTTTCCCCCCACAGGCTTCCAAAGAGCTCCAGCAAGCCCAGACAGCCAGGACAGAATCTACACAGATCCAGCCCCAGCCTGGTGAGGAATAGACACAGATAGAAACATCTGTCTCTGTCTGTCTGTCTATCATCTATCTATCTAAAGAGAGGGATAGAATATCCCAGAGAGAGGATGTGAGACCCTGAGAGAGGGTGAATGGAACCTGAAGGCAGGGGACGTGAGGATGAAGGAGACAGACTGGGTAGGAAGGCCTAGAAGTAGATACGTGAATGGACAGGCAGCTCACCTACAAATACTGGGCTGAAGAAAGCAGAGTGGGGTGAAGAGAGAGAGTGAAGGAGCTGGGCATGGTGGTGCACTCCTGTATTCCCAGCACTCAGGAGGCAGAGGCAGGCAGATCTCTGTGAGTTCGAGTCCAGCCTGGTCCAGGACAGCCAAGGCTACACAGAGAAAACCAGTCTGGAACCATCTCCCCCTGCCCCTCTCCCCAAAAAAAGAGTGAGTCAGGTGCCTGAGAGAAGCAGAGGGGAACAGAAAAGGGGAAGGCAGAAGCCCAACAGGACAGAGCCAAAGAGGGAAAGAAGGCTCCAGCAAGATGGCTTAGAGGGTAAAGGTGCCTCTAAGCCTGGTGAGCTGAGAGAACTGACTCCTGAATGTTGTCCTCTGACTGTAACACACTGTAGCTATGAACGCCTGTGATCTCAGGAGGCAGGGGTGTCCCAAATCTGGGGCCAACCTGGGTGTAGGGTGAGAGACCTTGTCTCAAAAAGGGAGAGGGTGGGTGAGAACGAGGCTGCTCGGGGACAGTGGCCAAAATAAATGCACTTGTGCAGGTTTCTGCATAAAGACCAACTCGTCGGAAGGAAAGGTCTTCATCAACATCTGTCACTCTCCCTCTATCCCTCCCCCGGTGGACATGACTGAGGACGAACTGCTTCAGATGTTGGAGGAGGACCAAGCTGGCTTCCGAATCCCCATGAGCCTGGGAGAGCCACATGCTGAGCTGGATGCAAGTCAGTACCCTCTGAAGACACCAAGCCTGTTCCCCCAAGATTATTTTTCCCTCAGGAGCTTCCAGTCAGTGCTGGGAGCCAGAGGGGCCCAGATGCAGTTCCAGTCTGAGTGACTCAGGACTGCAGAGACTGCCCTGGGTCTTCACTGAGGTTGGAGAAGGCTTCAGAGAAGGCTGTCTGGAAGAACCAGCCTGATAAGATATAATGGGTTAGTCAGGCAAAGACAGAGAAGAGGGTTGAGGCGGAGAGGCAAGTGAGCTGGGTGTGGTAGCTCACTCTTGAAATCTTAGCTCTTAGGATATGGAGGCAGGAGAATTGCTGACAGCTAGAGGCCAGCCTAGGCTACATTCAGATTTGATAAGAGCCTATGTCTGGAAGATACAGATGGACTAACAATCAGGAGAGCCTGGAAATGTGGACAGTGGGGTCTCTAGACTAGAAATGAGCATTTCCTCGAGGTGGGTGGGGTAGAGTGAGGTGATTCTCAGTGAGGTGATTCTTGGAGCTGCTGGGGAGGGTCTGCAGCCCGGAAGCCTGGAAGGACCTGGTCAGAGTTGGTTGCAAAGTGCACACCGCCTCTCACTTCCTGTGTCTTGAGTCTCTAGTTCGTGGGTGAGTTTTCCTTATGGGTGTTTATGTTGTGCGGGCCTCGTTCCCTCTTTCTTTCCACAGAAGGCCAGGGCTGCACTGCCTATGATGTCGCCGTCAATAGCAACTTCTACCTGAGAATGCAGGTGGGGTGCGTGGTATGGAGAAGGCCTGGGCAATGTGTTTCCCCAAGCCTCACCCCGTTGCTACACCTCTTCTTCCTCTCACCTTAGAACAGCGATTTCTTGCGGGAACTGGTGGTCACCATTGCCAGGGAGGGCCTTGAGGACAAGTATGGCTTACAGCTGAATCCAGGTGAGGACTGGGAGGGGAATGGGGGTGGTGTGGGTGCACATTTGGGGGAGCTGAGTTCAGTGTCAGGGATTTCCTTGACTAGCTTTCAGGAGGGGTGAGGCCTCTCACAGTGAGGGTGGGACCAAGAAGGTGGGAGGTCAGGAGTTGCTGGGCGAGTGTGTGTGTGTGTGTGTGGGGGGGGTTCTTGGTGCATTCCCTAGGAAGGGTGGGGCTGAGGTGGGCAGGGCCTCCTAGAGTCAAGCTTGCAATGGTCAGAGTGGGGGTGTCCAGGAAAGTGGCTCAGCCTCTGGGGCCTGGGACACAAAGATCACCTAGGTGATCTTTGACTTTGCCCCTCAGAATGGCGCATGTTGAAGTACCGGCCTTTCCTGGGATCCATCTCGCAGCAGAACATCCGTTCCCAGCAGCGCCCTCGGATCCAGGAGCTGGGAACCCTGGATGCTAATGACCCGGTGCAAAGCCGGCATGGGTGAGCCTTCATGCCTATCTGGGCTGGTGGCTGTCCTGGGTCTCTAGGGACTCTGAGATGGGGCTGAGACACAGAGCTGGGTAGAGGAAGAAAGGCACAACAAGCCAAAAAGAGGATCACCCTCAGCTGCCCTTGTTCCCACACAGCCTAGAACGGCCTCACCTGAACCTTTGGTTGGAAGCCCCTGACCTCCTCTTGGCTGAAATTGACCTGCCTAAGCTGGTGAGTAAGGGAAGAGGGCTAGAGTCGGGATACCCTGGGGTGAGGCAGGAGGTCCGGGGGCCAAAGCCCTGGATCTGAAGGTGGACACAGGCCTAGGTTGCATCTCCCAGATCTGCATAAATTGCCTCTCCTGGCCCAGAAAACCAACAGGTGCAGCCACTGCTATCCTGAATTTGAGTTTCTTGAGGCTTACAATTACTGTCCTTTGATTTTTTTTTTTTTCTTCATTGTTCTGGTGCTGGGGATTGGAGCCACAGCCAGGCATGCTAGGACCTTGTGGACATAGCTTCACAATGCTAGGGGATGTGAGTTGACTGTACTTCATTGCCAGGATGGAGCTCAAGGGCTGACACTGGAGATAGGAGAGAGTCGCCTGCTGATGGGAGGCCCCCAACAACTGTATCGCCTTGATGCCTCCATTCCCCTGCGGATCAATGCTGAGGCAAGCAGGGCTGCTTTCCACCGCAGGAGAAAGGTACCAGGAGGGGCTTCAAGAAATGCTGGGATAGGGGGACCCGGAGCCCTGGGTCTGAGGGAGGCGGCTTGCACCTCAAGTCCTGAGTGGGGGGAGGTCTGGAGCCCTGGGTCCTGAATCCTCACCCTCTTTCCTTTCTCAGCAACTGATGGTGTCTATGCCCCTCCTGTCAGTGTCTTCTTGACTGGAGTGCTCTGTAGTTCCAGATGTGGAGATGTTGGTGTCTTCTCTAAGAGTGAAATAAAACAGGTCTCCAGTTCTTTCCATACCATACATCTTCAGATTCCGACATATGGAGGGAAGAGGGACATCAGCTCTGACTCAGTGTCCCCAAAGTCTGTGTCTCTTTCTCGAGGCCCTGGCCTCCTGAGCTGTCTCCCCTGCGCCCAGAGCTGACCCTACTCCTTTTCTACCCCACCTCATTGTCCCAAGGAGAACATCCAGGCATCTCTGTTCGGCTCCGGCCCCTTCCTGCGGACAGGACTCTCCCCTCACTGGTGTCCGGCAGTCCCACAGAAGTGTCCCACCATACCACTGACTCTTGCTTCTTCTAGCTTGAGTGCCCTCATCTCCAGAATGTCATGTGGGGAGTTGGTCGTCGCCAGCCAGCACCATGCAGTGGGTGCTCTTTGGAACTGGCGTTTATAGGAAACCACGCTCAGGCAGTGTCTCTAGGGGCTCCTGCCCATATTCCAGCTTCATATCACAGGCACACCAAAGTTGAGTTCCCCAACCCCCAGGCTTCACTTCCTCCTGACCCAGCATGAGCAGTGCCCCCTTTCGGGACACTCCCACTCATTTCCCAACATTCTCTCCCTTTTTCTGGTGCTGAGGCTGTAACCCAGCGTCTCTAATGCTAAGCATCTGCTGGGTAGTTAGTGGTGGCACCTTTAGTTAAAGAGGCAGAGGCAGGTGCATCTCTGAGATTACAGCCAGCCTGATCTACAGAGCGAGTTCCAGGGCAGCCAAGGCTACACAGAGAAACCCTGTCTTGAAAAACAAAACGAATAAACAATGCCAGGCATATATTTGTTGTGCCTTTGAGCTACACCACAGGGCACCCATCTTTTATGTTTGTTTGAGAAAAGGTCTCGTGTAGCCCAGGCTGGTTTGAAACTTGTCATGAAGCTGAGGATTTTGATTTATTATCCTCCTGCCACCCCTAAAGTGATAAGATTTCAAGTTTGCACCATTACAGTGGTTTATGGAGCTGGGGACCAAACCCAGAACTTCATGAGAGAAAGGTAAGCACCCCTCCAGCTGAGGTACTTTTCCAGCCTCTATCTAGCTCTATAACAGATATATAGATAATTTGTCAGGTGCTTTTGTACTTGTTAAAACCTGACTTTTTTTTTTTAAGATTTATTTTACTTATGGGTGTCTTGTCTGCATGCATGTATGTCCAACAATATGGTTGGTTCCTGTGGAAGTCCGAAGGTGTTGAGTCCCAGAACTGGAGTTAAAGGTGGTTGTGAACCACCTTTGGGTGCGTGCTGGGACCTGAACTAGGATCCTCTGAGAGCAACAAATATTCTTAATCACTAAGCCATCTCTCTGATGCCAAAAGCTGACTCTTGAGAAAGGACACCCTTGTCTCAGACTCGAGCACACTGATTTCAAATGTGCTCTGCGTCTCCCTGTCCCGGTTCAGGCTGGCCTCCCGGCCCTGAGAAGGGAAGAAGGAGAATACAAGCCATTAAAGATACTAAGTATCACACCTGGGCAGTCCAGACGTTTCCATGGGCAAGGCCATCTGCTGCTGCCCCCATGACTGGAGATCCATTCCAGGAACCCACAATGGTAGAGAACTGACTCCCAAAAGTTGCCTCTGTCCTCCACAGGTGCAGTGTGGCATGGCTGCTTGAGAGAGAGAGAGAGCAGTTTATCTGCATGTACAGTGGTACCTGCTGGGTTCCAAAGGGGCTGAGAGGTCCTCAGGTTGTGAGCCATCATAGGAGTGATGGGAACAGAACCCTGGACCTCTGCAAAAACAGCAAGTGCTCTTAACTACTGAGCCATCTCTCCATCCCCAAATATATATGTAATTTCATTTTTATTTATTTTTCTTTTCTTCTCTAGACAGGGTTTTTCTGTAGCCACGATGCTCTGGAATTCACTCTGTAGCTGAAGGCTAGTCTCAAACTCAGAGAGAGATCCATGTGTTTCTCTGCTTCCCTAGTGCTGGAATTAAAAGCATACACTGCCACTCCTGGCTTATATATATATTTTTTTTTAAATTAAAAACAAAAGCCTGGTGTGGTTGCTCATGCTCTTAATCCGGACATTTGATTTCTGTGGGTTTAAGGCCAGCTGGCCTACATAGTGAATTCTAGTACAGCTGGACCCAGCTCAAAAACAAAAACCTCAAAATGAATCCATAACTCAAAATTGAAAACATGGCCATACAACCGCTGAGAAAAGCTGGTAATGTCAAGGAGGACATTTATCCCGTTAGCAGACATGGTGGGAATGCCTGCACTAACATTCTCAGGATGACCTGACCTCTTTACAACAGCGAAGTCTAGCCTCAGAATCCTAGCAAGCAAAGCGGCGAGCCTTGTCCACGTGAGGGCGCAAGGAAGCCTTATGGTCCTAGAGTTCTTAGGCAGGAACGACATCGCTAGACCTGGCAAATAGAAACGTGGGGTGGGTAGCACCGTGCTGACTCAAGCGCAGGGGCCACTGGGGCTTGTAGTCCACAGTGACGCCCGGCCTGGGCTACCGAAGGACCAGTTTTCAGGTCCTGAAAAAGCCTGAAGGCTGGGAGCGTTCCTCCTTTCTCCGTCGCCATGGTGATGGCGCGGGCGACGGCCCGGGATTTGGCAGCGGCCGGGCCCGCTTCCCACCCCCTCCTCCTCACCATCTGCTCCTCCCTCACACCTGGCCGCGAGCCGCGGACGCCTCCTCCGCACGCGGCCCGCGGCTCCGCAGCCGCCAGGCGGCGCGTCTGTGCGGCTCCGCCGCTGCCCTCCTCCCCGGGGCCTGTCAATCCGGCACAGCGGACACCCTCCGCGCCCGGCCGCCGCTCCAGCGGCTTCTCTCGCCCCTCCTGGGCCGCATCATAAAAATTTAATCTCAAATGCATTTGCAGCCTGACACGAGGAGAGGGACGTTGGGGAAACCAGCACCCTGCTGGAGCCTGGGGGTGCACGGGGAGAAGCGTTGGCCTGGCGTGCTTCAGGGCCACCCGAGAGTTGGGGTTCCCCCCACCCCTTACGGATGGGAATGGAATCTACGGATGGGGAGAGCACTTTTTGGGCCGGGCCAGATCGTGGAGCCCAAGTGGAAGTCGCCGCTGGGACAGGCTCGGAGGGAGGAGACAGACTCAAGGGGAGGAGCCTGGCCCCAGAAGGCAGAGACAGAACTTAGACAGCAAGTCTGCAGGTGTAGGGGGCATGTTTGGGGGGCGGGGACAGAACGCAGAGGGAGGAGACAGGATTAAATTGAGAGGGCCAGACTCAAGAGTGTCGTAGAGTCTAGGAGCCGGACCTGTTCCTGGGGAGTGCGGAGGGAACCGCGGAGCACGACGGGCGGTGATGGTGAACCTAGCTGTAGCGAACAGACTTCAAACGGATGAAGGGGAGGGATCCTTCCCAGGGAGAGAAGGATCGAGTGCGGAGAAAACCCAAGGAAAGTAGAACTCAGGGGGAAGAGTGGACCCTGAGAAGTGTGGGCAAAGCCAGTCTAGCGGCACAGCCTGCAGCCCCAGCTACTCAGGAGCATCATAAGTGTAAGGCCTGCCTGAGCTGCAGAGTGCGGGCTGAGAATGTAGCTCAGTGGACCTCCCCAGCATGTGTGGGGCTTTGGGTCCCATCCACAGCTTGGTCAGAAAAGGAAAGAAGGGACAGAAAAAATGGCTCAGCAGCAATGAAGCTGCTCTTCCAGAGGACCTGGGTTCAGTTCCAAGCGCCCGCACGGCGGCTCACAACTCCAGTTCCAGGAGCTCTGAGGCCATCTTCAGGCCTCCATGGCCACTAGGCACACCAGTGGTACACGGATATATATGCTGGCAAAACAGCCATATACTTAAAAACAAAACAAAACAAAACTGTTTTTGAGCTAGAGTTTCTCTGTGTACCTCTGGCTGTCCTCTATAGACCAGGCTGGTCTTAAACTCAGAGATTTGCCTGCCTCTGCCAACCAAGTGCTGGAATGAATGACATGTCACACCAAAACAAACAAAAACACCTTTTTGGTTTTGGGATAGGTTTGTGTTTTTTTTCTTCTTTTTCCTTTTTTTTTTTTCCTTTTTCTTTTTCCTCTGTGTAGCCTTGGCTGTCCTGGACTCTCTTTGTAGACCAGGATGGCCTGGGTGCTGGGATTACAGGCGTGTGCCACCGCGCCGGCTGAGACAGGGTTTCTTTGCATAGCTTTAAAGGTCCTGGAACGCACTCTGTAGTCCAGACTGCCCTTAATCCGCCTGCCTCTGCCTCCTGAATGCTGGGATTAAAGGCGTGAGACACCACCGCCCAGCTCAAAAACCATTTTTTATTAATTCAATTTACATCTCGGTCATAGGCCCCTCCCTCCTCTCCTCCCAGCCCCACCCTCCCTTTTCAGAATAGGGGAGCCAAAAACCATTTTTTTTTTTTAAAGAGAGAGAGAATGAGAGAGAGAGAAAGCCAAAGGTCTGATGGGGAAGCGAGTTCAGGAGCGGAGAGATCTGTGAAGGAGAGACCCAAAGAGTGCAGGGCAATTTGGGGATTGTAGTGGGGCGCGAGGCAATTCAGAGTTCAAGCCCAAGGACCTGGCTTTTAGCTGGACAGGTGGAGACTCAAGGATGGAGGCGGGAGAGGATCTAGCCTGCAGGGCCGAGGGATTAGCGGACCGGCCTACCGTCTCCAGGTGGCGGGATGGAGGGGAAGGGCGGGCCCTGCCTGCCGGGGGTGGGACTTGGCCGGGTGGGCGTGGATGCCCCGCCCCACCCCGCCCCCGGCGCTGAGTCCCACGACAGCCCTGGGCAGCGGGCACTCGCAGCCTGGTTCCCCCCGAGCGGAGCTGCGGGGCCGGGCCGGGCCGGGGCGGACCCCGGGATCCCGGACGCGGCCGCCCGGGCCCGCGGGCGGGGGGATTGGCAGGGGACCCGCGTGGGCACAGCCACCATGGAGTTCCGGCAGGAGGAGTTTCGGAAGCTGGCGGGGCGCGCCCTGGGGAAGCTGCACCGGTGAGCCTGGTGGGGTGCCTGGGAGGGGAAGGGTGAGGACGCCCCCTTTCCACCCGGGAGTCGACGGACAGGGAGAAGAGAGGCAACACCCTGGCGTGGTGTAGGGAGG